TTTTGAGAAGTGCACTTCAGGGAGCCACTGAAGCTTTTGTGTGTGTGTGTGTGTGTGTGTTGCACTTCAGGGGCCTGTTTAGACATGCAGAAGAAGCTTCACACTTCTGCTGACTTCCCCTTTCCTCCACAGGAACTTCCAAACTCTCTTTCTTTTTGCTTGCCTAAAGTCATCATTTCTTTTCTTCTTCTTTTTCTGTTGGCATGAGGCGAAGCTTTGATGCTTCTCCTTTCAAACACATCATCAGTTTTAGAAAATATAAATGAAGCAGTGCATGAATAACTAAAGCCCGGTTGTTTTGTATTGATGTGGACTATGTTCTCTGGAAAACCCTGATGTATTTTTTCCACTTTAATAATGTTGGTGTTCTGGGCTCAGTGGTGTTTTAACGTTAACTGATCACACAGGCTCAGATGTATCCAGTTTCTTATTTATTGTCAGAGCCTGAGAGTATTGCTTTCTTTCCAAGTACTCCTTGTTAGAGCTTGTTAGTTGAAAGATGGAAACGAAAAAAAAAAACCTTAATTTCCCTTAAACCGGACACCTGATTGCTTTTAAATAGCTGCTTCAGTGTTGACTTGACAAAACCATTATCGCTACGTGTGAACATAGAACGACTTCAAGTGGACTTAGAAACATTTTTAGTTCTCACTATTTCTTTCCTCTGACAAGATGAAATAAACTTAATTGCAAATCAACGTATGAATTTTTTTTTCTTTCCCCCAGTGATCAAATTACAGTTGAAGGACAAGGGTTGTATAGAGAATATACTAAAACCAAGTTCCTTAATAGGTTTTCCTGTTATTTATCGTTCCACTTCTGATTCTTCGTTGATATTATCTGCTTTCTGTTATCGGCATGCTTGTGAAGTGCAGGACTTGGGTAGTCCCACATTAACTCTTCTAAGGAAGGAACTCGGTCAGAAGTGGTGATCATTGCTTCAGGGGTGGATTCCTGGGTTTCAAGCCAGCAGTATGTCATTGACAAGAATATTACAGGATTCACAGCCATGCAAAACCTTTCTGTCATCACTCTACACCAGGGGTGCCCAAACTTTTTCCCTGAGAGGGCCAAATTTAAAATCTATCAGAGGGCTGCGGGCCAAATGCAATAATATAATACATGAAATGCAAATACTTCTTTAAGTAAAGTCCATTTACTTATTATACAGTTATTTCACCTTCCATTCTGCGTAAAGAACATTACAGAACAGTCGGTAGATTAACAGGAAACAAAAGATGTAAACTCTGAAATCTCTCTGACTGCAAAGCGTTCATGCAACACAGCTGCAGCTCTGCAGGTAAGAGGTGTTCACTTCAGGACAAATCGAGGTTGCTGATTGGTCAGCTGCTGACGTGCCTACTGGAGTGATTGACAGGTGGCGTGACTTGTGCAAAAAAATTATAGATTTTATTGATCTGTTGTGACTGTCGTCATTTATTCCATATTTAATCAATATTTTGGTGATTCTAAGGTTTGTGACCTGTTTCCTTACACAGTCCTAATGATGGTTTCTTTATTTTTCAGGGGTGCTGAGTTTAAATGTAAAGAGGCTAAAATCACCACTGAAACCAGTTCATATTTACAATTTACTTTTGAACACTGTGTGATTTATAAGTATGTTCTGTCAAAGGAAAATGTTATTCAGTGGCAGGAAGCTGCCAAGGGATGGTAGAAAGTCTGTCAAAATAAAATATTAAAATTATTTTAAAAATACATAAATTATCTCTATTCTACTGTGTAATCAGTGTAGTTAAATTATAGTAGTCAGACCGATAACAATAAAGTCAATGGGTGGAATCAATGAACACATTGATTCTTCAAAGGAAATATTAATATATTAATGAGGACAGCTTGGCGGGCCAACTTTGGCCCACAGGTCCCACTTTGGGCACCCCTGCTCTACACAGAGTAAACAATTAGTGCGTTCAAAGAATTCAGTCCTCCAAAAAGCCAACAACGTAGCTCTCCTTTGTTCCTCGTTAAATCACATACTAACTGGCTGAAAGTTTACACGAACCACAATAGATGCACTGGACTTTGTGTTATTATTTTGAACTCTCTATTTCAATACCAAAGCACCATTTTTCACTCGTTTTTTTTTTGCCTCAGCAGTAGTGGAGTAAAACTAAATGGCAAATAACAGCACGAAGCAAAAATAAATACTAAAAAACTAGCAAAAAATAAGCTACTCTTATGCTGTTCCACGTTTTTTGAGACAACTGACTAGAACATCTAGATGGCAGAATAAATGCAAAACCATAAAATTAACACGTTTTCCTCCTTTATTTAAATTTAATTATAAACATTAAATACTTTGTCTGCTAGCTTGTGCCTGTTTTCCTTCGTGAAGTTTTTAAAAGATTCATTACTAACTTTTTAGTACCAGATGCTCCAAAACAGCCTTTGTCAGTGCGTAGTTTGATGTTTACTCCATATGTCTTATAATGTTCCTTCTGTCTTTTTTCCTCATGAAAATGAGTATTTGAGTATTTTCAAGTTGGAATAAATACTTAGAGGATGGTACCACAGCTTACAGTTTTGATCATTTTACTTGTGTTTATGAGATTTCTTTCTGTTTCTTTTCAAACTGGATTCATAATCTGCTTTATGCTTCATAATTTTCCACCTTTTATTTTAACAATACAAGGCCGTCTTTCTAGGGGTGCACCGATTGCAGTTTTCTGGCCGATCACCGATCTCTAAAAAGTCTGACCTGCCAATTCCGATTTTGTCCGATACCGATTTTGTTTTATAAGCGACACTGTCCGGTGTTATAAAGTCACAATGCACCTTCAATTTTCCAATCTTATTTTATTGAAAAACATACCCTTGAACAATATCCTAGAAACGATACAAACTTGTTTTAACTGGCCATGATGTAGTGCTCTGAAATATAAATGAAGTTCAGACAATTGTTGTTAAAACTACAAAAAAATCTGTAAAATCAGTTTATCATTTTATGTATCAGCCGATCTCCAATTTCCCTAAATTAAGGAAATCGTGGCTGATAAATAGGCCAGCCAATTTATCGGTGCACCTCTACTTCTTTCATAAATCTGATTCTCTGATTTAATTGTTTAATTTTAGAATATTGTTCAAATGTTTGACTTCGTTATTAATCACTAACTTGGTGGAGCTGCAGGGTTTCTGATTTATTTAGCAGACTTCAGCTTGGCTCCCTGTTTTCTCTCTGACAGCAGCTGCTCTTCTATTTGGCTTTACCTTCGCAGGTTTTTTTTGTTTTTTTTGTTTTGTTTTTTTGCTGTAGTGATGCATATGTGTGTGTTACTAATAGCACCATTACTTGGCCCTAAAAAGCAAATATTATTTGTATTAAACTGTCATGAACTGAACAAGCAGTCAGCATTAATGAAGAACAAAAAGTCAAGAGAAGGTTTTTGGTTTTTACATCTTTCGTTCCTGTTCATTCATTTTGTGAACATCACTGCAGAGCTTTGGCACATCATGGCTGCCCTAAGAGCGTAGATCCAGTTTCGTTTCATGTTTCAGTCTGCAGACTTGGTTTCAGACATTTCCACGACGTCAGCCTGAGTCAGTATGCAGGTTACCATAGTTAGTGAGTTTCTCCATTAAATGGAAGCTTCAGCATATTTAACTTGTCGTTAAATCCTGACAAAAATGTTTGAGCATCATTAGTGGCAGTAAATTTGTTCACCCCACATAAACAACTTGTGCTAGTTTTAAAACATGCACACAAAATACATTAAACATGTATTATTTTGTGTTGTTTTGGTATTAATTATCATAAGTGCAGTTGCACATTGTGATGGAGGTAAATCACTCCACACTGTCCTTGTTAACTAGTTAGTTTGCTGCTGCGAAAGACTCGCTGATCAGGAATTAGTGTCTGTTTGATGCGTGCTTCCTCCTGTCCTTGCTCCTCTCGCACTCTGTCCTGAATTAGTTCTGCATCTCCTGCAGGCAGTGACGTGACGCCTCTTCAAAGTTTTCTTACTGACTGAACTGATGAGGCTAAAACAGCTTTCCTGTAAAAGCATTGCACACTTATTACTGCAGCCAAAATTAGGGATGTACGATATTATCGGCATGGTATTGGTATTGGCTGATATTAGCGATAGAGTTAAATATCGGCCAGTCCATCAAAATAACTCACTGATATAAAAGGCACTGCACACCGTTGAGTTTAGATTTGTGAAGATTTGCAGATTTGCAGTATTCGAGTGTTGTCATTGTGTTAGAGAGAATAAATGTCATAAATAAATTTGATATTAACTATAATCCAAGTTGAAGTGTTGCATCATTTTCAGTCCCCTTTTTGGCATTTGCATTTTGTAGCAGGCCAAATTGACAAAGACCATGCAGATAATGTAGTATTTTAAATCAACAGCAGAAAAAGTTATGTAGTCTCTGTTAGTAGGTCTAGGAGGGAAAATATCAGTGTTGGTATCAGTTAACGGCCAACTAAGTTTTAACGTATTAGCATATCGGATATCAGACAAAAATCCAATATAGTGCATCTCTAGCCAAAGTATATTCTGTAACAATACTAAAAGTATTATGTTGCTAAAACAAGTTTTTATTACAAATTTTATATTGGAATAAAGGCATTTGTTTCATTGATGTGTTAATCTTTAGCATAACTTACTGTGTTAACATTAATTCATTTCTATATTCATGTTTTGTGTATAAAATCCTGTATGGGTACATTTGTTATTTAAACATTATAGATCAGTCTTTGTTTAGTCCAAGCCATATTTCTCTATGTGGATAATAAAGTATATTCTGTTCTATTAATGTGTAAATGAGTCTAATAATGACAAACCAAACAAAAAAATCATATGTGAATGAGAAAAAAATGGCTTGAACTGAGAGGACAATGAGTGACCAAATCTATATTTGTTTTTACCAACCTTTTTTTTTCATGATAAAAACTTTTGATTTGCTTGAAACTTTTGTCCCTCTTGGCTGTCGGTGTTATTTTAATGTGCTGTTTTGTTTTGTTTTCTTCATTCCAGACTGCCAAAGGCTACATCCTCCTGTTTGATGTACTGGGTGGAAGGGATGAAAAGTACCTCTATGAGCCTGTCTATCCAAAGTGAGCACATTTTCAAACACACACACAGATGATTACACACCTAAATAAAGTAAGCAGAAGGAACCAAACCCTCCAGAGATATCTGAGGTGTAATAATGCCAAATCTTCCCTGAGTTTTTTTTAATAGTTAAATATAAATATACACTTTTTAAGTCTGCATCACATTAAAATATACAAAATGTGTATCTTTTAAGCTCTCCAAATTGTCTTTACGTGGTAAGAAATCAGCTTTTTTATTCATTTTCTAACCTTGGTTTTAAACTTACTTTTAAATGGTTGTGATTGAAATTTTATATATTTTTTTTATGTGCACGCCACCTTACTTGACAACATACCAGCAGAAACCGAGCAAGTCGGGGCATATTCACTGATCTTTGTCAGCTCCACGAGTTGAACATGAGTTCATTTTTGTGGAAAGAGCATTCTGTATAAAATAATTACAGGAAGTCTCTGCTCGGTCTTGAGCGAAGCTGCTTTGTGGTCATGTGGAACTGTGTGTTTCCACAGAGGCAGTCCTCGCGTGAAGGTGACCCCGGGTTATAAGGAGGAGCAGTGTGCCCCCGCTCTCTCTTTGGAGATGAAGAAGCCCGTAGATCTGGAGGCGCCGATCACCAGGTAGATGTGTGGTTCGTCTGTTGTGTCTACCTCACGCTTTCTCACAGCCACAAGCTCTGAAGTCGATAAGAGTTTCTCACTCTGAATCCTCTAAATACAGCTCATTTTAAATTTTATTCAGATTCTTTTAAAGTACTTATTAGCAGTTATTGGCTTCTCAGAGGAGGACTGGTTTTGTGTATTAGTAGGAGACATTTGGCTCAACATGACAGCATAAGAATGTCTTTTCCTCCTCCTAATGGGCACTGGCAGTAAAATGAGGCTGTAATGCACTGAGAAACAGCTCATCTACTGTTATTTGTGGAAACGGAGGCGTGAAGTGCATCAGAAATGAAGGCTTCTGAGAGGAGCGTGATGAACACATGATTGGAGATAGATGGAAGGGATGAGTGACACCTGTTTCCAGGTGCAGAACTAAATCAAATGAGTCCTAGTAAAATATCTGCAACTCCGTTTGAGTGAGATGACAAAAGATAAAATGCCTAGTTGGGATAAACAATGACGTTGAATTATATAAATACAAATATTGAAACCGTGGCCATTAATGAAATCAAACACAAATGCTTAGACCAATTTCCTATATCAGTGGTCTTCAATCAAAATTCAGCTGATTCCTTCTAAAGCAGTTTTTCCCAAGTAAAGGTCCAGAAGCTGCAGAGTAATAAAGAGAAACCGTTGGCCGGCTGTTTCGTTGTGGGTAAAAGGCTTGAAAAGCTGTGTCGCTTAAAATAAGTTACTGTAAATAATAAATTTAAAAAAATGTTAACGCAAAAAAATAAAAATATATATTTTCAATGAAGGGGCAGCACGGTGGCGCAACTGGTAGAGCTGCTGCCTCTCAGCGAGCAGGTCCTTGGTTCAAACCCCGGTCCAGGGGCCTTTCTGGGTGGAGTTTGCATGTTCTCTCCGTGCATGCATGGGTTTTCTCCGGGTACTCCGGTTTCCTCCCACAGACCAAAAACATCCATGTTAGGCTGATTGGTAACTCTAAATTGTCCCTAGGTGTGAGTGAGAGAGTGAATGTTTGTTTGTCTCGTTTGTCTCTATGTGTCCCTGTGATGGACTTGTGACCCGTCCAGGGTGTACCCCGCCCCTCGCACAGTGATTGCTGGACATGGGCACCAGCGACCCCCATGACCCAAAATGGAATAAACGGGTAAAGATAATGGATGGATGGATGGATTTTCAATGAAATTTTGCAGCAGATCTGAGTCCAAATCTGGACTGAGGTCTGTCATTTGGAGACATCTACCCAACATTTTTCTAAATTTACATCACCGTATTTTCCATCTTATAAATCGCAGTTTTTTGCATAATTTGCATGCCCTGCGACTTATACACCGAAGTGACTTTTTTTTTTCACATATATATATAAACCAATTTTGGCTGAGATATGACAGTTTTTTCATTCATTCTGACATTGAAAAATTTGAACACTACCATTTTCAGCCGCTAGATGGCACTTGATTAGTATGGCATGCCGCTGTGTCATGTAATAGGTAAACGTGGCTATTAATGACACAATCGGCTTGCCATAGCCTGCCACCTTCATCCAGCTCTTGGATTTTGCCTGGAGCAACCGTCAAACCAGCTTCATTTCGCTGCGCCGCCTTGGTGAAATGAAGCTGGTTTGACCATTGAAGTGCTTTTATTAAGTAAAAGTTCAACTGAGACACAACTTTACTATAATGTCGAGCAAACAAATAATTGTTTTTAAGTGGTTATCTTGTTAAATTTCGAAGAAATGCACAGCGAGTCGTCCCTCTGTGCACTCTCGCTTCTGCGAATCGGCTTTTGAAATGCAGCTGATTTGACCCTGAAAGTGCATTTATTAAGGAAAGGTTAAACTGAGACACACCTTTGCTATAATTTCAAGCAAACAAATAATTGTTTTTAAAAGTTAATCTTGTTAAAGTTCTCCTGTGCATGCTCCTGCGGCCGCCATTTGGCAGCCAATCGATTTTTGGCACAACACCGGCCCACGTTTTCGGGTGGTCAGCGGTGACATGTAATAGTATAATTATTATAATTTTTATTATTAGTATAAGTATAATTATAATTATTATTATAATGACGCGTAATAGATGCGACTTATACGGCGAAGCGACGTGCACGGTGGAAAAAACTATATCTATTTTTGCCTTTCTCATAAATGTATTAGTCAGTTAAGTAAAATATAAACACTAAGCAGTTTAATTTAATTTATAATAATACTTCTTGCAGCTCTAAAGTAAATTTTTCTTATTGCAATGTTATTCTAAACACATCAGATATTTGTTTAGCAACATTTGATCATAGACTTAATGTCTTCATAGTTGCTACAAAAACTTGATATACATGTAAATTTATGAACATCTAACACTATTTTAAAAATTTCACATCAGATAAAAACTGTTTTCTGTTTTTTTTGTTCTGTCACTTATTGTTTTATTCCATTTTTTTCTTGCCATTTTATGTCTTTTGCTGATTGACAGTAACTTTAAGTTACGCAGCGTTCTTCGTGTCGGTCTTTTTGTATCTTGTGTCTTTCATGTCCCCACACTCATCTGCCAAATCTCCTCCGCTTGATGAAGATTATAGGGCGGCCCGTCTGAATGAGAGCACTGTGTTGGCATTTCACAGGCACAGCTCGATTGTACAGGAGATGAGTGGGCGTCTCCTGCTGTGAAGCTGCTGTAAAAGATTTCGCCTCCTCCACAATCAGTCTGCAGCTCCTCGAGCTCTTCGACTCGCGTCGTTTCTCCTACCGTCTTTGTTCGCGGTCGTCCCGGTTGTGCTCGCGTTAAGCCTCGCGCAGTTTTAAAGACAACAAAGTCTTACAGACACAAACACAGGGTTGTTTGTTCCCTCAGAGACAAGTCTCTGGCAGCTACATCACAGCTGGTCACGCAAAACCGTCGAAGCACATCTGGACGATGAATAGTTGACTCTTGTCAAAATTAATTTACCTTCCACTCTTTGCGTTTGTGTCACTGACTCTGCCGCTTTTATTCAGGACTTTTGAATCGAACTAACTTGTTTCTTCCTTTCCACCAGTCTGCAGTCTCTCCAGGAGGATCTACTGGTTTGTACCGCAGACGGATATCTCCACATACTGCACTGGGACGGGCTAGGCAGCAATGGTCGCATGGCCATCTGCCTCACTACAATCCCCTTTTCATTAGACCTGCAGTCTGCTCGAGGTTAGAGAAAAAAACTGAAAAATTCACAGCAGCATTTCTGTGATGTGCACTCCTAAAAGTCATCCATCCAAACGTATTTTGTGTGTAGGGGGTCCCTCTCTGGACATGGAGGGTGTTTATATTCGCTGTATGGAGTACTGCGTGACTCTGGATGGATTTGCTGTAGTTCTCAGTGATGGACGCTTGGGTTTTATCACACCGCTGAGTAATACCATCACAGCAGATGTAAGGATTCCCACAGACACAAGCCCTTTTCACACAGAGGTCGCATTATAACGCCATAAAGACAGTTCTCGCTTTATGTCCTCCGTCAACAAACGTTACACCATCTCAGCACACGCTTTAAAACAGCTTTAAATGTGTAACAAGCTCTTTTCTAAATGCACATTCAGACGAGCTACTTAACCCAAACTCCATTTATTCTGCCTTTTACGAACAGAATAGTCTTAGACACGTTTCGCTTGTTAAATGGTGTTTTCAGAAATGTTTGGTTTAGTCGCAGCAGCATCAGTAATCTGTTTTTATAGAAGGAAACGCATGAAGTCTCTACAGCGAACAGAAATCCAAACTGGTGATGCGACGTGTCCGAGTGAACATTCAGCATAAATAGGGCATGGCGGGAATTCATCACCTATTTTTATCTTAGAAAATTACATCGGTGTGTTCAGCTTTTATCTTTCCTGGTACGATGTTAACAGTTAGATATTCTTTTTACTAGGGATGCACGATATTGGATTTTTGGCCAATATGCCAATATGTTAAAACTTATTTGGCCAATAGCCAATACCGATATTTTTCTTTCTAGACCTACTTACAGAGACTACATAGCTTTCGCTGCTGTGGAATTAAAATACTACATTATTCTGCACGGACTTTGTCAGTTTGACCTGCTACCAAATGCAGATGTCAAAAAGGGGACTGAAAATGATGGAACACTTCAACTTGGATTATGTTTAATGTCAAATGTATTCATGACATTTACTCTCTAACACAATGACAACACTTAAGCAGTCATACAAAACTGCCTTGTATATATATATATATATATATATATATATACATATATATATATATATACACACACAGCGCCTTTTATATCTGTGAGTTATTTTGATGGAATGGCAGATGTCCGATATTTAACTTTATTGCTAATATCGGCCGATACCATGTTGATAATATCGTGCATCCCTACTTTTTGCATCCAAAATAATAATAAAAACAGTTTACTGGCCCTTTATTGTCTAGAAGTGATGTTCATTAAACAGGATGGCAGGTGCAGAAGTTTCTGAGCTTTTCTTTATACGTAGATCTCTACATATTATTATCAAACCAAAACCATGACTAAGCTGTAGAGATAACGTGACTTGTGGAAACGTTGACCTTTTAGTTACAGCTCTGTCTGTGTTTGCAGCAGCTGCAGGGAGTCTGGGCTGCAGACGTGTCTGACGGCACCTGTGTGGCTGTCAACAACAAGTACAGACTGATGGCGTTTGGCTGTGCCAGGTCTGTGTGCATCTTACTCTCTCTGTCTGTGAGTGTGTGTGTGTGTTTACATCCCAGTGCTGGCTGTGTTTACTTGCGTTTGTGTGTTGCAGTGCGATCGTTGTCCTTGTGGTGTGTGTCCACTGTGAGAACGTGTCGGTTTGTGTTTGCAGAGGCCTCCTAGTGTGTGCTTGTCAGGATCTCCTCTTTGGATTATGAAATCTGCCAAGTTGGCAGGAATGTCTCTCCTTGCTGCTTACTACTCGTTCATCTTTTTTTTTTTTTATCTTTTTTCTTTTTTTTACTTTCGCATTATTTTATTTCCATGTGTAATTATAGTGCGGACAGTCTTTTGAAAAGAAGAAAAATGCTAATGCTAAAATCAGTTTTACATTTCACTGATCTTCATCAGTGTGATTTGACCGCTGTATGAAGAATAAATTGTGAGAGCAGCAGCTGAAACAGGAGATTTGTTCAGTTCGTCATGAGCTCATGTTTTTGTAAAACCATTTTTAATTCTAATTACAGTGGATCAGTGCTGGTGTACGTGATAGACACCACAACAGGGTCCATGCAGCTCTCCCACAGACTGGAGCTCACGCCAAAACACTACCCAGGTATCACTCCATCACTCTTTCTCTTGTTTTTGTCTGTTTGGGTTTTTTTTTTCCTTACAGCTCTGTTATGCTTCTCTGCACACAATTTCCTGTTTAGTTATTCTTGATAACCTACATTCTTTCAGCTGCTTCTCTCCTGGGTCCCACATGTTTATGTTTCTTCTGCTTCAGATAGATTCATGTGGGAGCAAAGATGTAGCGCCCCCTTTTGGTCAAAATGTTACTCAATCTTTAGTCACTAATGGCTCCTTTTTCAACACTTTTATTACATTTTTAACATAAAAAAAAAAAAAAAACTAACAGCCCCCACCTCAGTGCCTACACCTAACAACCAATAAATAAATGGATAAATAAGTAAATAAAATAAAATAATAAAACCTGTAGTCAGTGGTCAGAGGCTGCAGGTTGCGTCTAGAAGGGCACGTGGCTTAAAACAGTTGCCAGACCGTACAAGACAGTTTGCTTGGATCAAATTAAAATAATATAAGAAATAAAAGATCTATAAACGCATACATATTTTCATGCACATATGTGTATATACACACATGACAAAGCACATGGCCTTACCAGCCAGATTATTTGCAGTTAAACAGATAAAGGACCTCTTTAATCCAGCTTGTATACGTAGGTGGAGGATTTACAATTTAGCAGCATTGTGAATGCTTTTAGCAGGAGAGAGAGGAAGTGAAACACCCTGAACAAGGCAGGCAGGCATGCGGAGCAAAGTCCACTGTAGTTAATTTGGACAACTAAAAGCCTTTTTTTAAAGAACTTTTAAAGCTGAGCCTGTTGCGTCCTTCTGTTTGTATGTTTGTGTGTGAGCTTACACTGACGCAGCACTGAGCTGCCTCAGATCGGGCTATGTGAATCACCGAAGTGGAACAGCTACATCTTAACTAGGGCATAATATATTTATTTATGTTAAGGTGTCACAGGGTTTTTGTTGATTATGTATGACTTTGCTTAATAGAACACCTTTTTCTCAATGTATTTGTTCAGATATAAGTCAAACGCACCAGAACATGCAAAATATTATTTTCACATGCAAAAGGCCTTTTTAAGAGGTCTTATTTGCTTCATAGTCCAAAAATAATTGGGTAACATTATTGTGCTTAGGATGCAATCACACGTGTTCATGCATTCACGGTATACATGTAATTAATTGACACGAGTTCCTAATGTTTGGGTTTTTCAGATGATGCTCAAAATAAAGATCTGCGTATAAAATGACTTGTGTTGGTTTTCACAAGGTTTATGAGCATGAACAGAAAATGCTACATTTGCAGTTGTTGCTGCAATGATAATAAAAATCATAATCTACAATAAAATAATTAGAGATACTGACACTGATTCAGCGCACCACTCTGCTGAATAATTCAGGTCAAATGTAGAGATGCAGTAATTTCTCTGAAATCTTTGCTTTTCTCAGACATTTACAACAAGACCGGTCCTGTGAAGCTAATCTGCTGGTCACCTGACTACAGTGTCGTCATGGTTACCTGGGAGTGTGGCGGCCTCTCACTCTGGAGTGTCTTTGGCGCTCATCTCATCTGCACCCTGGGAGAAGACTTTGCGTAAGTGGACACACACAGTTTGAAACACGCCATTTATTACTGCTCGTCTTATTTTTTGCTGAAATTATTATTATTATTATTATTATTTATATATTTTGTTTTTTTAATGGCTTTGTTGGAATGTGTGTATTTTGTGTTTGCTCCTCTCAGGTATCAGTCCGATGGTACGAAGAAAGATCCACTTAAAATCAGCTCCATGGTACGTGGAATTACACAGTTATGATGTTTGGTTAAACTTTTACTTTCTAAACTAAAATTGTTTGAAATATTTAGGGCTAACTTTGCAGAAATAAGATTTTTTTGTTGTTGTTGATTTTTCTTCTTGTTGTTAAGCTGTAGTCTCTGTTTAACCTTAACCATGTTATTGATGAGAAATACTTGTACAAATACTTCACACAGTGTGTATTTGTATCCTTTGCGCTCACTCACACTTGCTCTCTGCTGCTGTCCAGAGCTGGGGAGCAGAGGGCTATCATCTATGGGTGCTCCCTTACAGACAGGAGAGGAGGCGACAGGAGGAGCAGCAGGACGTGGAGATGACCTCTCCTCCCCACCCCTCCCTGCAGGCCGGCATACTGCAGTTCCACTTTATTAAGAGCGCCCTCACAGTCAATCCTTGCACGGTGAGAAGAAACAATTTCAGCTGTGCGTATACGCAAACATTCTGCCGTTAAACGCTGCTCCTCGTTCACAGAGCAACCAGGAGCAGGTGTTACTCCACGGTGAGGACCGCCTCTACCTGACCTGCGGCGATCCCACACAGATCCACAGCACCTGTGACACACACCTGCACGCACACTTACACTCACGCGACGGCAGCCCGTTGCATCACAACCCCGACTCCCCCCTCTCTCAGGGACTCAGCACTTTACTGGGACACAAGCACTGGCAAGTGGTCCAGGTAGGTGTGTTCACACCACCCCCAGTGGCGAGGAGAGACCGGAGGTTAGTTCACTGACTTGTGGCGTCTCTTCTGTAGATTCACAGCACATACCTTGAGAGCAACTGGCCCATACGGGTAAGAGCATTCCTGTTTTTATTGTATGTTTTCTTTCTGTCTGTTTTGTTTTCTAACTTTTTGTTAGAGTCATGTCTTGTTTTTCAGACGTCAGTGACTCGTGTCTGAAATTTTCCCTTTAGAAATCATTAAAGGGAAAATATAACATTTTAAACTACATCAAAAGAGCTACTCGTGTGTTTATCATTAAACTTGTTTAAACTTTTAATTGCGACACATCCAGTTCTGAGCTCTGAGCTTCCTAGTTGTTATGTGTCTAAAAAAGTTAAATCTGGTCCTCTGGACATTCAAAAAAAAAACAAAATACATTACGGCAAAGACTGGTTCATCCCAAAGATCCAGTCCCCCGGCACAAACAGAGCAATGTTGTGTATGCTGTTCAGTGTCAGGAGGGCTGTGATCAGTCTTACATCGGGGAAACAAAACAGCCACTGGCCAAAAGGATGGCCCAGCACAGAAGATCAACATCATCAGGCCAGGACTCTGCAGTCTACACTCATCTCCAGGCCAGCGGTCACTCTGTCAAGGATGAAGATGTGCACATCCTGGATAGAGAGGAACGATGGTTTGAGAGAGGAGTAAAGGAGGCCATCTTTGTGAAAATAAATCGTCCATCGTTAAACAGAGGTGGAGGCCTCCGGGTTCAACTGTCCCCCTCTTACAATGCTGTGATTGCTAGTATCACTCAGCCCTCTGTGAACAGTAAACAGCCATCAGTGTGCTAATGATCCATTGTAAGGCTGATGGTCCTTCTTGAGCATGTGATCAGCTGGTTTTGGTTGTCAGCAGCAAAACTGGTTGATCCACTCTGAGAAGGTGCTATTTAAGAGACTGAGCTGAATACAGCACCTCAGACTGAGGAAGTCTCTCGGATGAGAGACGAAACGTTTCTACATTTTTTTTGTTGATTTGCTTTGTTTGTTTTGTTTTTTTTGAATGTCCAGAGGACCAGATTTAACTTTTTTAGATTTTTCTACCTGGATTATTGAGCATGCATCAGGATAGTTGTTATGTGGTTTTGTGTGCAAACTGAGTTTTTTTTTTTAGAAGTGTTCATGATGATTTTGAGATTAAAACCACATTTTCACATGCTTAAAGAAAGAAAGCATCATATATTGATGTTCCCACAACTATCATTCCCTAAAAGTTTGGTAATTATCTTGTTTTTCTCTCCTTTTTTCCCTAAGATTTGGTCAATACAGTAGTCCCTCGCTATTTCACGGTTTGTTTATCGCAGACTTGCTCTATCGCGGTTTTTCAAAATAAGATTGGACGTGACACACAAATGGCTGATTGATGGATGAGCCGCATGATCGGCATGGAATTTTTGTTTAAAATTAATTTTAAATTATTTAGCACCTGCTGCACCTTTGTGCAGCCCATACTGCAGGAAAAACCCTGCTGCAGCTGATCAGCTGTTCTCCCTACAGAGCAGAGAAGTGGGCGTGGCCAAGAGCACTTGCGGCTTGCAAAGAGCAGACGAGGCGGAGAGCTGAAATCATGACATTCTGTGCTCTTAGAGCGTTTAGAGTTTAGAAACATTGAATATTGCAAGCGTGTGGGAAGGGTTTAAAACACCTTTATGCGTGTGTATATATATATATATATATATACACACACACACACACTACTTTGCGGTTTTTCACTTATTGTGGGGCTTCAGGATACGGCTCTCTCACAATAAACGAGGGACTACTGTCAAACCTGTAAAAAACTGTAAAATGCACTCTGATTGTTATCACAAGTGATGAGCATCGAGTCCATGCTAGAACGTCCTGCTGCCTCTTGAACGTTGCCAGCAGCCGTTCTACCAGTTTTTGAGAACCATCCTGCTTGTAGAGGCATCACTCTGGTCTGGTGTCACAGTTTCTCTTTATTGAAGCTAGAAAACTGATTTAGATATTTGAAACAACTCTTACCAAACATTATCCAACATCAACGCTTAAAGTGTTACTTGGGGCCACTTTTTACATATAAGTACAAATATATAAACTTCTATTTGTGTTAAAATAATAAATAAAAATCAAAGACAGGGTGTGCTGATTTACCTAATTTGTAAGTTTTTGTTGTTTTTTTACATTTTATTTATTTTCATTTCTTTCTGCTAGCTGGTTTTTGATAAATAATGCTTGCAAAAGTATTGTTTAATCTTAATTTAGTGTGCTGCATTAAATTGTATTTTATATTGTGTCACACTGATCCTTTAAAGGCAGTGTGTTGTATCATTAAAGGAATTAATTAGTTATTTTGTTTGCTCAGACACTACATTCTGTGTAAGTGTTGAGCGGCTATTACAAGTGTTCATGTGCAGAATTGTAGTGTAGTCAAGAGTTTACTCTTTTCTTCTATGTTTATATAACGCTGTACAAATATGAAAATGTGTCATTATACAAGTGGACACCATAAAATATCTCAAATAATCAAACGTGAGTTTACTTGTCACTTAAATTTCTCTGTAAACACTTATTATGTGTGTGTGTGTGTGTGTGTGTGTGTGTGTGTGTGTGTGCGCGCGTGCAGTTTGCAGCCATACACTCGGCAGGCCAGTGCATGGCTGTGGCAGGCAGGAGGGGCTTTGCACACTACTCCTTATTCACAAGGAAATGGAAGCTGTTTGGAAACATCACTCAGGTGTGCCGACACAGTCAACGGAAAAAATATGAAAGTCTTTCTGATCGACCTCGTTTACAGTTTTTATTCAGATATTTAGAAATTAAAAGTGCGACTGGACATCTCTTATTTTAAAAACATAACTTAAAGCCTCATTTCTGTGTAGTTGAATGTTCTTGGTACGTTTTTCAATCAGCTAGTTTGTACTGAATGTATCGAAACTCTTTAAATACTATATATTTTTTCCCCATGTTTTAAGTAAAACAAAAAATAAATGTTTGATTTTATTTATTTGTATGTAGGAACAGAACATGACGGTGACAGGAGGTCTCGCCTGGTGGAGTGACTTTGTAGTGGTGGCATGCTACAATTTTACGGACCAGCAGGAGCAGGTGGGAGGGATGCATCCTTTATCTCATCACATCTATGTAATTATAGTATTTTTGTCTCATTATGACTCTTGTTTTCTGACTGCTGGCTTTAGTTGAGGCTGTATCAACGCTCATCCAACCTGGATAACGCCTTTGCCTCGGTCACCAAGCTGCACTCTGACACTCTGCTGCTCAACGTCTTCAGAGACATGGTCATCCTGTTCAGAGCCGACTGCTCCATCTGCCTCTATAGTATAGAGAAGAGGAGTGATGGGTGAGTTATTGCTATGCAAAACCCTGAAATAACCTCAGAACTCCATCAGTTTTAGATAAATTATTCTTTTCCCAATGATAATGATATTAATTAAAGCTGAATTAACTCCCATATGTGGTAAACCTCCAAATAAGTTATTTTCAAATTTGATAGTTTTTTTTTTATTAACCCTCCACGGCATCAGGGAAATACATTGCTTCTATGCTTTTTGAGTTTTTCCTCTAAAAAAGAAGCTTCAGTAAAAGCATTTAATAAAAACCTTTCAGGTTTTTTTTTTAATTGAACCTGCTCTTTGATGTTTTTGTCTCCCCCTTGTGGTGACTAGATGAATTAATCAAATGTGAAATCATGTAATAATGAATTTGAGCAATATTATTAATAAATAATGAAGTTTTAGACATTATATCTTTCCCTTACCTTTGCTAAATTTCATTTTTATATATAGATTTTTTTTTTTAACTTTTCATTAATGGAATAAGTTCGTTCTCACCAGAAGCTCAGGGATTTGTTTCAGTAGCATCCCAGTTCCAGCTTCCCTCATTATTAAAATAAGCCCTTCCAAAGAGTCTAACCCTGTTTAAACTTCTCAGCAACATTATTCCAAGTGTGTTCCTTGGTCTTCATGATGCTGTTATCACTGATGTTTTGTAACAAATCTCTAAGGCCTTCAAAAAACAGCTTTATTAAATTACACACAGGTGACCTCTGAAGGTATCTATTTGGTTGCACTGGATTTTAGCATTGCATTTGGATTAATAATCTGTTCATGTGTGCTCATCTTTCCAGTCCAAACCCATCAGCTAGTGTAGAGTTGCTGCAGGAGGTGTCAATGTCCCGCTACATCCCTCACCCAGCTCTCGTGGTCTCCGTCACACTCACATCTGTGCGCACAGAGACCGGCATCACTTTGAAAGCTCCGCAGCAGGTAGCAGCAGCTCTCCTAAATCTAGAACGCATCGTGATAAAACCAGAGGTGTCTTAATCTGTCTTTGTGTGCGTCTGCGTTTTCGTTAGGCCTGTACGGCAGAGAGCATCATGCTGAATCTGGCTGGCCAGTTGATCATGCTGCAGAGGGACCGATCAGGACCACAGGTACGAGAAAAGGAGACGCCTGCCACCAACAAGAAGCTGGTAAGTCCAAACTCATCTCTCAGATGTGTTCAGTTTGGTCTAAAACATTCCTCTAACCATTTTTTTTATCCATCTTTAGCTACCGTTCTGTCCTCCAGTTGTGCTGGCCCAGTGTGTGGAGAACGTTTGGACCACCTGTCGCTCAAACAAGAAGAAGCGCCATCTGCTGGAAGCCCTCTGGTTGTCCTGTGGAGAGGCAGGAATGAAAGTATGGCTTCCTCTGTTCCCCCGAGACCATCGAAAGCCTCACTCCTTCCTGTCCAGACGCATAATGCTGCCCTTCCACATCAACATCTACCCTTTGGCTGTGCTGTTTGAGGACGCCCTGGTACTGGGAGCAACCAATGAGACGGTGCTCTACGACGGGCTGCAGGGATCCTCCGAGCCTCTGGAGGCACTGTTCCCCTACTGTACTGTAGAGAGGACCTCTCAGATCTACCTCCACCACATCCTGAGGCAGCTGCTGGTTCGCAACCTGGGCGAACAGGTATGTGGAACTTCGCATCAGCTTATGAGAGTTTTTTTGAGAGGAAAACAACTTATTTATTTCCTCATTAATGTTTATTTTTAGGCTTTAATGCTGGCTCAGTCATGTGCCTCCCTGCCCTACTTCCCCCATGTCTTGGAGTTGATGGTACATGTGGTACTGGAAGAAGAAGCAACCTCACGGGAACCAATACCGGACCCCCTGCTTCCCACAGTGGCCAAGTTCATCACAGAGTTCCCGCTCTTTCTCCAGACTATCGTTCACTGTGCCAGAAAAACGGAGTACGCTCTGTGGAACTACCTGTTTGCAGCTGTGGGAAACCCCAAAGATTTGTTCGAGGAGTGTCTCATGGCTCAAGATCTGGACACGGCAGCCTCCTATTTGATCATACTGCAGGTTGTTGCAGGGAAATACAACTTTATGAAAATGTTCAGTAAAGTTTTCACACAGAATGGAAGAATTAAAGAATTTTGGCCCCGAGTTGTGATGCAAAAACCTACAAATAAAAAACCCAACTAGCTTTAAAATAGCACTTTTTATCATTGTAATTTAAATGCATTAATTTATATTTGTCATTTAGTTGGCGACTAATTTTAGCAATGTTGCAAATTTAAACACAACTCGCCCTTCATTACTTTCTAAAAGATTTTCCCTTTTTGAATTTAATTGTCTTGCCTGCTTGCTGCTCTCTTTAAGAACATGGAGGTTCCAGCGGTGAGCCGGCAGCACGCCACTCTTCTCTTCAACACGGCGCTCGAGCAGGGCAAGTGGGACCTTTGTCGGCACATGATCAGATTCCTCAAAGCCATCGGCTCAGGGGAGATGGAGTCACCGCCCTCCACACCGTCCACTCAGGTGAGGAGCTTCAAACATTTTCAACGTAAACCTTTTAATTTCTGTGCGGCTAAATTAAGCAAGATTAAACTGCAAACCTTGTTAGTGGCTCAGATTTGTAGCGTTTAGAATCAGGAATATTTGCTCAAATGTATTTTTCAACTCTTATTTTTTCCCCCATACCTATCCAGACCTGAAGAAGTTTTTTTTTTTTTTTAAGAATGAGCAAGTTTCCTGCATTAACAAATCGTTTAGTACAGGGGTCTCAAACTCAACTTACCTGGGGGCCGCTGGAGGTAAAGTCTGGGCGAAACTGGGCCGCATCAAGTATTCCACAAAATACAAAAACCTAAAAATTACAATGCTGTTATTGCTAGTATCACTCAGTCCCCTGTGAATAGCAAGTGGTCATCAGGGCACCAACGAGCCATCGTTAGGCTGATGGTCCTCCTTTAGCATGTGAGCAGCTAGTTTTGAATGTCAACAACAAACTGGTTGATCTACTATGAGAAGGTGATATTTATTAGACTGAGATGAATACTGCACCTCAGACGGAAGAAGTCTTTCGGATGAAAGACATAACTTTTTTTAATTTTTCTACCTGGATTATTGAGCATGCATCAGGATATGTGTAGTTACATTCTATTCAATTGATTTTTCCGGCATACAAAACTTCATTACCGTTTTAGCGTCAATACGAAAAGTACCAAAACACACAAAAAATGTAACTAATGCATCAAACAACAATTGGGTGCATATATTAGACCTTTGTCCACAATTCGGCTTCCATTATATATCCAAAAATAATTGTTTCACCTCTCCAACGGAGTGAAGAGTACTTGGCCTCAATGCGCGGCCCCCGGTGGTTATTAATGGCAGAATCCCAATGGAGTTTTGAATTAGCGGCGACAGCAATTCTGTTAAAAACAGCGCTTCAGTCAGCAATCACACGGTTGTTTTAGACATGAGATGACAACAGACTCGCCATATAATCGAGTTTGCAAATGCAGATTTGACGTGCATCGATTTGTTTGGGAGACGCAGGAACAGAGCACACCACAGCAACAGTGGAGACCGAGGAGGAGGTAAACGTGACCCGTGGCTTTAAAAAAAAGGTTAAAGAGTTTGGGGGCAACACAGGAAGTGGGCCCGCAACAATAAGTCATCAAGCTAAATGCGGGTTACCTGAGGAAAAAACGAGCGGGCCACACTAAAACCAAGCTTTGATTTCAGGTAGAGGGCCACAAAATATCGGTCCGCGGGGCCACACTTGGGCCCCAGCCCGTGAGTTTGAGACGCCTGCTATAGTAGGTCTGAAATTTATTTATTTTTTCTCAGGAACCCAGCTCAACCGGAGGCTTCGAGTTCTTTAGAAACCGCAGCATCAGCTTGTCTCAGTCAGCAGACTCCATCGCGACAGGAAAGTTCAACCTGCAGAAGACCTTCAGCATGCCCACTGGAGCGTCTGCCAAAGGGTACAATCAGCTGAAACATATTGGATAATGTTCGAAGGTTTACATACAGCCGTTGCGTCATGTTTTCCCCTGTCCTTCCAGTCGGGATGTGGAGTGTGCAGAAAACATGTACATCGACATGATGCTCTGGCGCCACGCCCGCCACCTCCTGGAGCAGGTGCGCCTTCGTGACCTGGGGTGCTTCTCCGCTCAGCTGGGCTTCGAGCTCATCGGTTGGCTGTGCCGCGAACGAAACCGCGTGGCTCGAGTAGACGATTTTGTTTCAGCGCTGAAGAAACTCCACAAGGATTTCTTCTGGCCTTTTCCCGTTATACCTGTGGGAAGCCTCAACTCACCACTGAAGAACGGAGGCTGCCGCACAGGTGAGGTTACCGCACGAGATTAGGCTCTTCTGTTGAATAAATGTAGCTCAATGTGTGTGTTTTTTTTTTTTTATGCAGTTTTGAGCACGCAGCTGCTGAAGTCTCAGTCTGCAGACAGTCTGCTGAACAGCGACATGGACACAGCCCCTTCGACAGCCCCCACCAACCACACCTGGATGGGTGGGCTCGGACAGAGGGCCAAAGACATGGACACGGCCTCATCTGTTCACTCCAGCCAGCACTCACCACAGACACAAGACGCCTTCCTGTCACTGCTCACTAACAAGGGTAATACACCCCCACCGCCCTACACACCTGCCCGTTGAAATATAAAAACAATCAGTGTTTTCATCAACGTGTTTTTTTCTCGTCTAGTTGAGGAATACAGCATCGGCTCGGCCACAGACCTGACAGAAACCAGCTCGGTGGTGGACGGCGATTGGACCATGGTGGACGAGAACTCCACCCTGAGCCTGAGTCAGGCTGAGCTGGAGCACATCTCCATGGAGCTGGCCAACAAAGGCCCGCACAAGTCTCAGGTGCAGCTCAGGTGAGAGGAGCTCCTTTCACGGTTGGATTTAGTTTGGTGTGAAAGCAGAGCTGGTTTCTGACGTTCCTCCGCGTCTTTCAGGTACCTCCTTCACGTGTTCATGGAGGCGGGCTGTTTGGAGTGGTGCGTCGTGATTGGTTTGATCCTGCGGGACGCAAACGTCATCAAACAGATGATCAGCTTCCTGGACAACCCCGAGGTTCCCTCAGAAACTGTGCAGAGCGTCCGACACGGCTTGCTGGCTGTTGACGCCTGGGCCTCCGCAGACTGGTGGGTCTAACGCACATCAACTTGATGCTTCTGCTTCGAATCTTCTCTGAATGTTCTCTCCGCGCTCTCCAGCCTGGGCTACAAACCATTTCTGAACCTGATCCAGCCGCAGCTGCAGCAGCTGATGGAGTCGACCGCCGAGCAGGTGCAGCCCGAAGCGTTCCAACCTGCCAGCCAGACCTCAAAGCTCAGCGCCTCCGAAGGACTGGGAGGGGCCGCCGTCCCTCGTGTCGAGGACAGCAGAGGCGTGGCCGCTCCTCTGGGTCTGGCCTTGCCCTCGGTCGAACCTGCGGGAGTTTTCCCCCGTCCCCCCTCTGAAGACTCTCCTGAACAAACCGAGGAGCAAGCAGAGGAGGAGGGAACCTACGACTGCACCTTGTCCTGAACACCAGGAGTCAACCTGGGAGCTTCAGACTGAGGGGAAAGACGTGGAGAAACGGCTGCGACTGACTGAAAACAGACTGTGTTTGTGTGTAGGCACAAACGGTACCACCCTGCAGGTTCTTACTTCAGTCAGTATTATCCAAACTTTGGAGATTTGCCTTTGTTGACAACTAGAGCTCCTGTGCATCCGGCTGGGTTTAAGTCTAACATTTCGCCAAAATGTGCTGTTAGGATAAAAAAAGGGTCCGTTTTTACTCTTTTAGGTGTTTGCAAGCTGCAGAGCGGTATGTTTTTCAATATTCCAAGACTGCACAGACAGAAAGTCTCTGGTTCTTTGGGTGAATCAGGTCCGTTTGATCATGATGCTACGTCAATTAGCTCCTTGTAGAATGAGACTTTAGTCGTGAACCATTGGCAAGACGCTCTGAAGTATCTGAGCCTGCAGCGAGTGTGCACAAGAGGCGTTTCATACTTTCATACCTCATGATTTTAATATTTTTTGATAACTTTTTTCAATAATGTTAAAAGGATGAACGAGATTATTTTTCTACCAACTCTTGACTTTCCCTGTGAAAAAAAAACAACAAAAAAACACTTTATGGTGGGAATTCTGTGCAACTCTTGAAAAGTCATAGGACATCTGTTGATGCGAGCACGTTTCCTTAACACCGATCAGTAGATCGTCTTGTCCGTCTCGACCTTGCTGAAGGTTACTGTGTCGGACGAAAGCGGTTTTTCTCTCGTTTGTGTGGCTCAAACACGCAAAGCAGATCGGCGTTAACCCTCTCCTGAACGAAAACGCTACAGAAACCAAATCATACGACACTTTATCCAGCTTTTAAATGCACGGTTCGATTGCGACATCAGTCGTGTGTGACTAAAGCCACTCTCACTTTTGGACCTTGGTTCGCTCATCAGCAGTGTTAAGAGCGAGGCGTCCTTTTGAATCTCATCTGATTATGAATTATAATTTATCCACTCCCAGATTTTCTGAGTTTGTGTGAAGCCATGTGGATTTCTCGTTGCCACGTTGTATTCATAAAGTATTACGATTGGAGTCTTCAATCCGTCAGAGCTGATTTTATTGTATTAGTCTTCATCATTATTGTTATTTATTGGCATTGTAGCTGATTGAAGAGTGGAGATTAGTTTTTATTTTAATGACTGATAACCTTTTTTTTTTCTACTCGGAGTGAAGCGTACAATCACTAAAGGTTTGTCAGATGTGTCAGTATTACTTTGTGCAATGCTTTGAAAATGTTACTCCAGCTTTATGTTTTTACGTTCACCACTTCTCTCTGGTTTCTTGTCGTTCTAGACCAAAACACGTTGTATAGGTTTGTGTAATCGTCTCTTAAACGGTTTGTTTCGTCATTTTAAAGTACCCTCTATGTGCACAGAAGGTTCTGTCCTTGTCTGTCAGCTCGGTGGGTCTCGTCTCCACGGAACAAAGCCCACGGCCACACTACGCCGCTCGGCTGGGAGCTGTGCCCGACTTGTAAACGGTAACCAAAGACTTCCAGAGGCCTTTCTGTTGAAACCGTTTTGTTAAACTGAACAAAAACTTTCATTCCCCCCCCCCCCCCCCCCCAAAAAAGAACAAAACAAAACATCAACCCTCCAAACTGATGCTGACAGAATAACTATTTCCTACGAAAACAAATAGAAATATTGCAGATGTTTTAGTTTTCTTCTCTACAGGATTAGGGGGTGGAGTCGGTTGGTCAGGTGTCTCATTATGGCTCCTCCCCCATCGCATACAGTTTAAAAGTATTGCCTGTTCACTCAGAGATATATCTCGGAGGCAGCAGACATTCTGAATGCAGTGTAAAGATACTCTCTTGTACATTTGCTTTTTCTACTCGTGTTCCTTTTTTCTACTTATTTTTTTTCCTTCCTGTACATAAAAAACAATAAATTATTTTTAAAATTAAATGCGTTTGAAGGAATTCACATCACTTGCTGTCTTTCAAACCAAAGCCTTCAGCTATAGGTGCTGGTCATAAAATTAGAATACGTATCATGTAAAAGTTGATTTATTTCAGTAGTTCCATTCAAAAAGTAAAACTTGTATATTATATCCATTCATTACTCACAGACTGATATTTCAAATGTTTTATTTCTTAAAAAGTTTTTGATTATAACTGACAACTAATGAAAATCCCAAAATCAGTATCTTGGTAAATTAGAATATAGAAAGAAGGTTCAATATTGAAGAGACATGGTGCCACACTCTAATCAGCTAATTAACTCAAAACACTTGTAAAGGCCTTTAAATGGTCTCAGTCTAGTTCTGTAGGCTACACAATCATGGGGAAGACTGCTGACTTGACAGTTGTCCAAAGGACGACCATTGACACCTTGCACAAGGAGGGCAAGACACAAAAGGTCATTGTTAAAGAGGGTGGCTGTTCACAGAGCTCTGTGTCCAAACACATTAATAGAGACGCAAAGGAAAGGAAACGATGTGATAGGAAAAAAGTGTACAAGCAATACGGATATCTGCACCCTGGAGAGGATTGTGAAACAAAATTCATTCCAAAATGTGGGAGAGATTCAGAGTGGACTGCAGCTGGAGTCAGTGCTTCAAGAACCACCACGCACAGATGTATGCAAGACATGGGTTTCATCTGTCGCATTCCTTGTGTCAAGCTACTCTTGAACAAGAGACAGAGTCAGAAGCATCTCAACTGAGCTAAAGACAAAAAGGACTGGACTGCTGCTGAGTACTCCAAAGTTATGTTCACTGATGAAAGTAAATTTTGAATTTCCTTTGGAAATCAAGGTCCCAGAGTCTGGAGGAAGAGAGGAGAGGCACAGAATCCATGTTGTTTGAGGTGCAGTGTCAAGTTTCCACAGTCAGTGATGGTTTGTAGTGCCATATCATCTGCTGGTGTTGGTCCACTGTGTTTTCTGAGGTCCAAGGTCAATGCAGCCATCTACCAGGACGTTTTAGAGCACTTCCTGCTGCTGACCAACTTTATGGGAGATGCAGATTTCATTTTCCAACAGGACTTGGCACCTGCACACAGTACCAATGCTACTATTACCTGGTTTAAGGACCATGGTATCCCTGTTTTCAATTGGCCAGCAAACTCGCCTGACTTTAACCCCGTAGAAAATCTATTGTGGAGGAAAGTGCGATACACCAGACCAAGAATTCAGAAGAGCTGAAGGCCACTATCAGAGCAACCTGGGCTCTCATAACATCCGAGCAGTGTCAGACTGATCAACTCCATGACACACCGCATTGCTGCAGTAATCCAGGCAAAAGGAGCAACTAAGTATTGAGTTCTGTACATGCTCATACTTTTCATGTTCATACTTTTCAGTTGGCCAACATTTCTAAACATCCTTATTTTTATTGGTCTTAATTAATATTCTAATTTTCTGAGATACTTAATTTAGGGTTTTCATTAGTTGTCAGTTATAATAATCAACATAATAATCAAGAAATAAACATTTGAAATATATCAATCTGTGTGTAATGAATGAATATAAATATACAAGTTTCACTTTTTGAATGGAATTACTGAAATAAATCAACTTTTTCATGATGTTCTAATTTTATGACCAGCGCTTGTATAATTAAATGTTGAGAAACGAAGCTGTAGTTTGATCAAACCTCAAGTACGATTTTGTGTGTCGCTCAGATTGTGTGTTGTGGACGACTCTCTGCGACTACCGCATTGTTTACCTCAATAGCTGCAAAACTGAGTTAGCCATTTTTGTGGTTGATGTCGATTTCATTAAAAAATGGTCTAGTGGTTCATGGAATAATTGGAGAACACACTAAAAACATTGTCTGCCTTTGCCTTTTGGCTTCATGTGATAAATATTACAACTTAAACACAACACAGCCATTAATAATACAGTTAGAGGCATTTTATTTACTAACCAAGTTCAACCATTTTGCATAAATTAAAAATCATCCTATTCTTTCACAGATGCGCTGTTCACATAACTCCCATCGGTCAGAAGTTGAAAAAATTATCCATTTAATTTCCAAAAACAAAACAAAAAAAATAGTTTATGCAACCTAAAAATATCTAAAATAAAAGTAAAACATGCCAGAAAAAAACAGTCCTAATGTGACAAACATTGTGAATCCTGTTTTTTATTTAACCATTAAATGCGATTTAAAAGAATAAAGCTACATCCAGGTGAGTTTGTGCTCCGTCAGTTTTATATCAATGCATTAGTTCTGTTGCAAAGTTATTTGCTTAAGTCACTAAAAAGGCTCACAGTAATTTTACACGAAGCTCTCCGAGCACAAACAACTGAGACGTTTAAAACCGACTCAGGGCCACATTTACAGCGGCGCCTCACGTTCCCAGTGTTACATCAGAATTACAAACACTCGACACAAAGCAGGTGAACAAGTTAGCAAACTCATATTTTAAGTTTTTTAATGGACTGCATATGAACTAAAAATGTTAAACGTGAATGCAAAGAAGTTTACATACACTCATGAGCATGAATGTCACTAATTTGGAGGCTCGTTTTAAATTGTTCTTTAAGACCGAGCTACATTTGGCTAAAAGAAGAGTTCAAGTCTAAACACTGTACCACCTGTGAAGCACGGTGGTGGTAGGCTGGTGGTGTGTACTTAATTGATGAGATTAATAGAGGAGGACTACCTCCGGGTTTGTCCACCTCGCCTAAAATTAAGACAATTAATAGTGGATGCAGTGATTAGAAACTTGGGTGCTCCTTCTAAAAGAACAATCCCATATGCACATCAGGACTGGTTCCTGAATGGAAAAAACAACCCCCTTAACTGAACCTTAAGTATGGTCAAATCTCCAACCGGAGACTTGTTGATGGCTACAAAAAGTGTGAAGGGCAACTCGCTAAGAAACGGGGTGTATGTATATATTCGAGTACCTGTGTGAGTGGAATAGAAAAAAATCCACAACAAGTTTAAACTTGCGCACCCAATTTTTGTTTTAAAGCTAATTGAAGTCGTAAAATCATTCCACCCTGGAATAAAAGCTATGCACACCAATCATTAAAAGAAGCTATAAGACATTCATGCTTGTGATGAACGGATGAAAACTTCTGACCACAACTTTACATACTGTCACGGTTAAGTACTGTCATTTAAAACCAGAGCATCCTGCAGCACAGCCAGCCTGCGTCCGCTTTTAAATCGGGCGAAGCTGCGAACGTCAAAAAAACAAAAACGAAGCGTTTTTGACGATCCGATAAAGAGAAAACTTGTTGGGAGTCGAAACTGGTGACCCCCGCTGCGTCACTTCAAAGTCGAGACATCCGCGATCACGTGATCTTTGTCAGACGCAGCAGAACCACTGAAGAGGTGCGTCAGCCTGATCTGATCCAGAGGTCGGTAATACTGAACATATAAAGACCAAACTGATGTTTTACATGTTTCCCATTTGGCAACTAAACCTCCTGCAAAAAGTGTCAGCCCTCTCCTACCTGAACAACTGTGCATCATTTCTGAGGACTGAAGTGTCAAAGATTTTGTCTTCCAGTCTCCGCAGCAGACGTGCATGTGATATTTTGGGTTGTTTAAAGTAAAGCTGAGGCCAAAACAGTGTTCACCAACAAACTCGTTACAATTGCTTCAGTCAGAAGCTGCAGAAAAGCGTCAGTGTGGTAAACTTGTCATCTGAAACACGTGCCGTCGCTTTAAACCCTCCAAAATTTTCAGAGCAAACTTTCAAAATAAGAGCACACTAAAAAGCAGCACTTTAAGTGCTTTCACTTTCAATGAGGCGTTTGTGTCCACGCACGGCAGTAAACTCCTGGAAGCAGCACTTTAAAGCCTCTCCTCGAGTTACGATTGACTAAACGCTGGGAGAGACAAGTTTTTCTAAAATGTACCGTATTTTTCAGACTATAAGGTGCACTTAAAATCCTTTCATTTTCTCAAAAATCGACTGAGCCTTATGTATTAATTCTGGTTGTGCTTACGAACCTCGAACTGATTTTATGTGGTACAACTGAACAATGTTGAGTTATTGTGAATGAGTTGAATAAAGTGACTTATTTGACTGTTTTGTTTCGCTTAGTGCGCCTTATAGTCTGAAAAATATGGTAATTACATAAAGGGTGGACTTCAGCTTTTGGATCTAAATCTCCCCACAAAAATCTTCAAGCACAGAATGAGGCTGATCTGAAAGTGTGATCATATTTAAATAAATCTGAAAACGGAGGTAAGTGGCACTGATGGGGTTTAAAACCCAAGAAACTAAACAGTATAATACGCGTTTACCTCGATCAGATAAATATCGATTCCGAACCGTACGAATCAGTCAAAGAGCTTTAAGAGCAGTCATCTTGGTGTTGAACTAATGTCTGGAGGTAGTGGTGATGAAGTAAAACAACAAATCACAACTGGGTTGCGAATCCGGTTTTTTCGGACTATAAGGTGCATTTAAAATCCTTAAAATTTACTCAGAAATCAACAGTGAGCCTCATAATCCAGTGCACCTTATGTATTAAATCTGGTTGTGCTTACTGACCTCGAACTGATTTTATGTCTTTATTGTGAATGAGCTGAATAAAGTTTGATTTGACAGTTTTGTTTCGCTTAATGTGCCTTATAGTCCGAAAAATACGGTAATACAGAATGCAACCCGACGCAGAAAAATGTAAAAGTTTAAATGCATAAACTTTTTCAAGCGGTTTTTGTTTGCAGATAAAAAGGCTAAAAATACTAAACGTAAATTTTGCATGTATATTCACAGTCAGCCTTCCTGATAACATGTATCTAAATCCTGCAAAGTTTCCTTTAAGATATTTAAAATGTGGTTTTACATATTTAAATTTGGCATATTACAAATTAATGCATTTTTTTTACATGGATTTAAAAAATACATAGTAAAATAAACAATATGATTTTATGTGTTTAATGTTGACTAAAACAAAAGGAGACATGTTATGAACACAAATCAAAATGGACAATTTTATCATTTTTGTTTTCCTGTTGTCCTACACTTTATTTGCAAAACTTTACCCACTTTGCAAAACGACCTGCTAATTAATTTTATAATGGCTTCAATATATGATTTTTGTTCACTTTTCATCAAAAAATACAGTTTAGAGGAGAAAATGGCAAAAATGAAGTGTTGCTGTAGTTACGTTTATCGTTACAGTAAGATGAAATATAAAGATTCACATCAGTGAGAAACAAAAAGACAAACCGAGTCTGTTCATTCATAAACATTCAGGAAATAATTTTCACAATCAAATCCAACAACAAAATGTCATTTTCCCCTCTAAACTTTTAATAAAGTTGTGATTTTTTTTGTATTTTAGCCGTTTTTGTTTATCAAGTATAATTTTCTGCATCTGTGTCACATCCTATGAATTTGAGCCGATATTCCATATTTAAAACACGACTTATGAGGAATAATCAGTTTAGCTAACGCAAAACCCACTTCCTGATGAAGGAAGGGCGTTAAACAGTGTCGAACACGGGTCAGTTTGTTAGAACGTGGGTCAGTTTGTTTTACACCTACGGGTGCAGGTGGTGATGACGGTGTTACTGCTGCAGAGGAAGCCAGAGGCACGTTAAGTCTGAAGACATCCCGAACAGTTTGCTGGTTTAAAAAAAAAAAAAAAAGAAGCAGGTTACTTGTTCAGGAAGTGTCAGCAGAAGTGAGTGGAAAATAAAGGCACAGCTGGGTATCAAAAATTTAAACCTTAAACTCCTTAGTTTCACTAAGTCAGTGGTGAGCAAGAGGCTTGTGGGGGCCTGAGCGTCGGTCCTGCTCAGCTAGCTGCTCCTGACACAGTGATGGAGGTCTCTGAGGCCCGCTGGGACTGAGAGCCCGTGTTCTTCTTCTCCGCCCTTGGTTCTCCTCTGCTTCAGTCTGCGATGCGCGACGCTCTCAGTATCGGTACATGTCGTAAGTGCTGACCCAGGAAGAAGGAAACGCCCACGTGGGGAACCGGCGGAGGGTTTCCTCCAGCTGAGCAGTCCGACTGTCTTTGCCGAAGAAATAGTGGGTAGATATGGCCACTGAGATCATCCCCTCGGGGCCGGATGGGTCCGGTTCTGTGGGAGGCTAACAGGTGGAGAAAATAAAATGATTAATATACGATTGCAATGTTAAAGAACTAGAACTCGCTGCAGCGAACAGCTTCATCAAACGCTGTAAATCTCAGAACCTGAAGTCTAAACCCTCTCATGTGACATTAGGGTGGTGCACAAAACACCCAGTGTTCCAGCAGAAACTAATCTCCTACAGACATGACCCGCTAAAGAACACGTGGAAATCCAGAAATGTCCAAAATGCTAAATAAATCTGCCTGGGTCTGAAGACGGTAAAAAACCAGGCTGTTAGCTGTGCAGCACCAACAACTGGTTTACATTTTACTGAGGACAAGAAAGTCCCATAAAAGTTGAGGTTCTCAGAAAAACACTTCTCTGTTGAGTTTAGAAGAACGATACAACTCGTTTGTGTTTGTATTGCTACGAGCAGCAGCTCCGTGTGAGCCAGTTAAATAACTCCCGGCTCTTACGCCTCTGTTCACACTGAGGTATAAATCGTGTACAGTAGTCCCTCGCTACTTCGCAGTTTGTTTATTGCAGACTCGCTCCATCGCGGTTTTTCAAAGTATGATTGGACATGACACACAAGTGGCGGATTGAGCCGCACAATCGGCATAGTTTTTTGTTTTTTTAACGATTCCCCGCAATAAACGAGGGACTACTGTGCTCCCAAAAGTTTTGTGATTAGATGTCAAGTGCCCTCGCTGTACACAGATACACACACAGCCCCGTCAACAAACAGGACATCAGCAGATCTGCTAAAAAAAAAAAAAAAAAAAAAAAAAAAACAGTCCCCTCAAATTACAGCCTGTTGGATAAGATGGAAGAATATTTGCTCACATTTATGAACAGATTTTTTTTTTTAAGTGATGCTGTGAATTTGCAACAGTTATGTTCATCGTTTTTAAACCCAAAATTAAGTCCAACTTTCCACTTTACCTCCACTCACCCTTTGAGAAAAAGATGGCTAAATAATTTACATTTAAAAGCAGAAGAAACATTAAATTTTAATAGGAACAAAGAGTTCAGAATGTCCCTTTAGACGTTACCTGGATTTCAAACCAGAAGGTCCACGTGGGGGCACTGAGGCCGTGGGAATAGAAGATAAAATATTCTCCGTTCAGGTCGAGCTGAGGAGTCCCGTCGCCGAAGGACCAAGAGGAGAGGCTGGCCCCTCGGTGAGGCATCAGATACAAAGACATGTGGCTCGGTCCTGCACCAGACAGAGAACTTTTACTCAACGCACACAAATAGAACAAGCTCTTCAACAGCTTTTGTCTCACAGGATCCACGTTACCTTTCACTCTGAATGTCATTTTGAATGTCCCCCATCTCGTCTCCTCTTTGGACCGAAGGCTGAACTCCACCGGAGAACTAGGAGACACTCCTGAAGCAGGAAGGTACCAGTTCTTCCTACAACAACAAAGAAACTGATCAGTTGAAAAACAGACAAACAAAGCTCGTGCTGCGTGTCTGCAACCCTGACCTGCTGAGGAACTTCACCGGCAGGAACCACGGGTAACCGCAGAAGGGTCGGTCCTCCCTGCAGCGGGTCCGAATGCTGTCGTTGATCTCGGGGATGTGAGGAGTTATGTGTTGGACGCTTGTGAAGTCGAAGCTGTTTATCCAGAGACCAGAGTCGATGCTCTCCACCTGGCCCTGAAGATTGTGGAAGGTCCGTGTTGTGTGCTGCAGGAGAGATGAGCTGCTTTAAGCTGCTGTAATCACATGCTGGATTACATTTATGTAACTCCGTCTTCCACAATTTGTCATATTGACACATTCTTAATTAATTATGGATAAAAATCCATTTTGTTGCTATAAATATGTTTTTTGTTTTCGTACAAAACCATATAAGAATAAAACATTTTCATTTGTGGCTGATTCTTCGTCCGTGTTCACTTTTTACCTGGAAACAAGTAAATCTAGGACACTATTTTACAAAATGTGCTTTACAGGAACCAAGAACGAATATTTACCTCTTAAACTCACTTAAAAATAAAAATCAATGTAGTTTATAAATGTGAGTCAAAGTTTCTGTGAAGGTCGGCACGTGTGTGTGTTGTGACTTTGAACCTGCAGGAAAACCCTCTTCGGCCGGGGGCTGTGTGGATCCCCCGAATACGGAAAGAAGAGGCCGCCGGACACCAACAGGAACATGACCATGAAAACTGAACCCAGACCAGCCAGGATCCACTTTGTGCTTCTTACCAAGTAGATGAAATGCAGCTGAGACAGATAAAAAAAAAAACATTGCAACTGAATAAATCTAGGCAATAAAACAAAGGTTAGCTAAAGTGACATTTGGTTGAATATTTACAAAAAAAGAGGAGAGGAAGATGGTTGCCAGGGTGACCAAAGAGGCCATCACCACTTCAGGAGGGATTTCTGTTCCACTGCGGCCCATGATGGGGGTGAAGATCTCAAACACCACCCAGAGCAGGAACATGAAGTGGACATACGGCAGCGTGAGCCCCAAAAGGTACAGCAAACTGTATTTCAGAGACGCGCCTGAGGAAAAAAACAAAAAAACAACTTTATCATCAGGTATCATATGACAGCTGATCTTGTGAAACTATGCAGCTTTTGCACATTGTTACATTAAAAATATGTGAACGCTGACTCAGCATTCATTATTTTAGCCCATTTTAGTTACCGTTTTACTTTTTGATTTGATTTAGGTCATTTTAGCTTTTGGCTACAGGGAAATTAACACATTTTGTTTAGCTGATATTTGCTTTAAACCATTGTGCTAGTTTTAGGTTATAGCTACTGTTTTGGCTAATTTAAGCTTTTAGCTATCATTTTCTAGTTTTAACTTTTAGGTACCATTTTCTTAATTTTATCTTTTGGAAACTGTCTTGATGATATTGGTTTTTAATTTCTATATTACAGGCTTTAGCTTTTAGCTACCGTTTTGCTAATTTACACATTTAGAATATTTTGATAGCATTTGGCTACATTTTAACTATTTTAGCCAGTTATGCTAATTTTATTTTTTAACTATGGTTTTAATCATTTTAGATTTAAATTACAGTTTAGCCTTTATTTATTGTTGTACTAATTTTAGCTTTTAGCTACCGTTTTACTAATTTAAGCCTTTGACTACAATTTTGCTCATCTTAAATTTTTAGCCACTCTGTTTTGGTTATTTTGTATTGTAACTTTTGTTTTACTAAAAAAACATGTGTAAACACTGTATGTGTAATATTGTCGTATTTAAAAAAAACAAGTCAATAGTGGATCAGAGTGAATGCAAACTGGGAGTGTGAACAAGGTTGAAACGTTTACCTCTGTGTTTGAACTCTCTGGTCAGCAGCAGTCTGGTGATCAGGGGGAAAGCCACCATCAGCATGGGCACGTAGGCTGAACACAGACCTCGAGAGGTCAGCCACACCAGGCTGGAGCACCACAGCAGCAAGCTCACATCAAAATACAGATCACCCAGCTCCACCAGACGTACACCCTGCGACCCAAACAGAAACACAGATGTTCAGGTACAGACTTATACAGATGTTTACAGCGGCAGATTTTTTTATCTGAGAGACTGAGTGTGAAATCTTAAGTCAGAGTCCGTCAGAGTTTCTTTATTGTCGTTCGCACCACATTAAGGTTAAGAAGGCTGGAAAAAATATGATATGAAAATCGTCGTTTACTTGATGGTTTATCCAGAAAGACGAGTGTTTTCATGCAGATTTTATCACCACGTTATTTGAGAATATCTACTGTATTTTCCGGAGTATATGTCGCATCAGTCAAAAAAAAGCATCATGAAGAGGAAAAAACGTATACAAGTCGCATTTATTATGAGTCACCGCTGACCCGTTGTGTTCATTATGCGTTTGATGGTCAAAACATCTGTATTTCGCCTGGGCGGCACGACGCCATCCTTCCATCGCAGCCAGAGCCGTTAGGTAGGTCTCCAGCATTCCTCCGCCTGCACCAACTGAGTGAAGCGAGTGGGCACGTGAGGACTCGCTGTTGCAATTCTTCTAAATTTAAAGTGTCAGACAAAAATTGCATAATGAATATGAAAAAGAAAAACTGCATACAAGTGGCTTCAGCGTATAAGTCGCAGGACTGATAAATAATAATTATTTACCGTATTTTCCGGCGTATAAGTCACAGATTTTTTTGCATAGATTTGAGTAGAGATTAACAGACACTGTCACGCCTGCTGAACTTTTTACTACAACAGCTAACTGGAACAGAACAGGCCCGTTCCATGAATCCATCAGTGAATATGACTCGGACAAATTTTAAATTACTGATCTGCAAGATGAAATCAAAGTCGACTCACATTGTGGCTTTTAAGGTACTAATCGATTTTTAGTCTTGATGCATGCTCAATAATCCAGCTAGATTAATTAAATAAAGTGTTAGCCTCGACTAAAAGCAACTTTTAAACTCTTATCTTCGACTGGTCTCATTTTTCTAATTTAACAAATGCAGCTGTGTTTCAAAAAATAAAAGTGACGTCTTAATGCTGCTCCCGAGGATTCAAACCGATTAGGGCTAACTTTTCTAATGTTTACAGAGCTCAGAGCTTCTTTTCTGCTTAAAAAGATTGTTTCCAACAAATGCACATTTTCCGCCTGTTTGTCAAAACCCCACTCACCCTGTAGTACAGGTTTTTGGCCAGCGTGTGGATGAGGATAATTTTCCCGGTGGCTGCGGCTCCATACAGGCAGATGGCTGCGTAAAAGTGGGTGTACCAAAACATGGAGCGTCCCAACAGAGTGACGAGAAGGGCGACGATCAGCACAGACAGCAGGGTGACGAACCAACTCAGCACCGCTACGGCGGTGGCATAGGCTAGGTCCCGAACGTAACGCCCACCTTAAACAGACACGGGCGAACGACAAATGAGGCCAAACAGAGCGACATAAGAGGAAAACACACAGCCTCCGCAGGACGTCACATGACTTACATTCTCAACAGGAAATGCAGCCCTACCTCCAGTGCCAGGCAGCATGGCCTTCTTCAACAGATACAGGAAAGTGGCTGCTGACACCATGTAGTTGAGGATGGTGCCCACACGGGCGGGATAGGCCACTACGACAACTCCCAGCAGGTCAAAAAACACCATGTTGCCATGACGATACGCTGAAGAATCCGCCAGCGTTTCCGACATAAGCAGGTGCTTCAAAACAGACAGGATGTTGTCACCTGGAGACAGGAAGTGAGTACAGACTCAGGCTGCATCAAAGGACGTCAGTTTACGAAACAGAGCAAATGTGTCACAATCACAATGGAACAACTACGTAGTTGGAGAACTTGTGGTTTTTGTTTCCCACAACTGTAACTCAGCCCCTGCAATGAGAGGAAGTAAATGGTTTATGTGACTAAATGTGAATGTGATAATCCTCCATCATATGACAGCTGACACATTCTGCGCAGCAAGTTTGATGTAAACACATCAGCTCTTCTTAAATAAACTGCAGCGCTTTAAATACATACAAAACACAAAAATACTACGAAAACCTTCAACACATCTCCAAGATCAAACATCCAGTTCTACTACTGTATTTTCCACCGTACAAGTCGCTCCAGGGGAAAAAAAAAACATATCAGTCGCTTCGGTGTATAAGTCACAGGACTTGCAAATTTATGCAAAAAGGTGCGACTTATACAGCAGAAAATACGGTAATAATACCATCAATCTCCATAAGATTATACTATCTAATCCCTGACAGGACTGTATGCAACAGTGGATGATAATCTGAAAAAATTAAAGTGTTCTGACATTTCCCGTTAGTCTCCCTTTCGTACAATACGGTGTAAAAATCTTACATTTTCTTTCTAAAAATAAGTCAGACTTTCGTTTTATTCTTTAAAGTGTTTTTGATCAATATTTTTCCAAATGTTCTGAAAGAGTTTCGCTGCTTCCCCTCTAGAAGCGGCTCATTTTCAGAGAAATCTTTTGTTTCTTTGTTAGGGCACTGAACTTTGACCTATAAATCGTTCAGGCATAAAATGACTCCAAAACCCAACGAATAAACAATATATACATTTTTTTTGTTGCAAAGTATCACTTTTTATTAGATTCTTTATCTTCTTTGTTACTAGCATTCAGTCACAAAGACAAAATTTGTTCTCCTTTCTATAAAGAATTAATTAAAAATACCAAAGAGAACACAGTTTTACAGAAATTAAATAGCATTTTAGCACCAAACGGTGTTTTCCAATGAGCTACGAGATGAAAACTTCACATAGAAAAGATGATTTAACTTTGTTTTCTGTTTCTTAAAGACAATTGCTTAAGACATTGTTGCAAATAAATTTAGGAGACCAGGGACTTCTTTTTTTTGTCATCCACTCATTTAATTTCCTCATTTTTTAAGCACAAACTGAATAATACCTGTTACATCAGTAGAAAGTGGCTGAGTTGAAGCGTCGCTTTAAATGGCGACGCCTGTTAGGCGTGTTTAAAATGCCAGAATCAGGCTCCTCTGAAATGATTTATTTTTCAGTTTAAATTTTTATTTTATACATATAGGAGTACAATTAACGGCGTTGGGCCACTGAGTCGCCAACTACACCAGTGTCTCTCACAAACTGGCACAGAATCAGGTTGAGTTACAAACTCCTTCAGAGCCAGTCCACGCCTCCAGGAAGTGATCGTCATAATAAACTACGAGTACCGGCAGTCCATAGTCTCATTTCAACACTCTGACATGTCTGATCAATGGCACTTTGTCCAATATGTCTCTAAAGAAAACAAGGTCTTCTGCCCTGAGAAGCCATTTTGAATAACTTCTTCAGAAACACAACTTAATAAAAAAAAAAATGTCAAGACAATAACTGCAAATTAACCATAAAACATAAAAGTATAAATGAGATCGGATCAAGAAAAGATAAAAATACATTTCACGCCTCAGTGTCTTAGCAGTAAGCAGCTCGCCGTCGAAACACAAAGAGCGATTGTTCTGCCGCCTCGTGTGCATGAAGTGTAAACAACATAGAGAGAGCGCAACACTTGTTCATTGTTCGTTTAGAGTTCACCGTTTTCAAGTAAAGCTCATTTCACTCACAGCTGCACAGAAAGTAAGAAGTTGAGTCTTTTGATAAATTGGTTCAGAATGATTTTAACAAAACTGAACTTACAAGAAAGCATTACACATTTTGCGTTGCTTTAAAATGAAGAAGGTCAAACATCTGCAGGTTTATCACAAGCCTGTGGTGCATCCTAATCTCCACCTCACAAAGCTGTTCTGCCTTCTTCTCGGACTAAAACGCTTCATCCCTCTGAAATCTCACTTTCCAACTCTCTAATAATTCATGCCTTTCACGGCGAGTTGCTGCGTGCAGAAGAACAGACGTCCAGAAGCTACTGAGGGAGATGGGAAAGACGCCAACTGTCTGGTTTTTAGTGCTGGCTGACAGGATTTCTGCTAAGCAAAGCCAAATAATTCAATGTATTTGCTTTATTCAGCAGCACGGACGAACAAAAACGACTAGATTTGTCTGTCGTTGATGAGCGTATCTCTATGTTGGAGAATAAGATGAGAGCCCTACAAGTCTGAAACAGGAGATAGTTTGACCGACAACAAAGATCTATTTGTTGTAGACGGAAGAAAAAGATGCGTGATGTCTGAATGCAGGTGAGATCAGTTTCATACCAGCTCTCTGAATCGAGTCGGTCAAAATCCTGTTGGCGGTGTCATACTTGGTGTGGTAGATGAAACCATTTTCAATGAAAGCAAGATCAATGCCTGTTTAAAGAAAAGAGACAGACTACAATAAATAAAACAGAAAAAGTAGATGTTTTTTACCCACTGGACTGTTGTTTTACACAAAAAATAACTTTAAACGTCCATTTTTAAGCTGCTCGTACCTGGGATGTGACCAAAGTCTCTGTAAATGCGGAAGTCGGTGTCAGAGGGAATGACGCCGCTCTGAAAAACCTCCTGACCGACCACAGAGGCGAAGGGGTGTTTGGCTGCGTGGACGTAGGCTTGGACCAGCCATGGGTTCTCTGGACCTTTAGGATTAAAAATAAAGAAAAGCTGATGTTATTTTCAGTACCATTCTTTATTTTATAATGTAAACAAAGATCTGACATCGAGTTCTTCACCCGGTCCACTCAGGGTTCATCAGGAAGCTACGAGACCAACTAGAGAGGCTCGGTTCAGGTGGATCTGAACCATCTAAACCAAGTCCTTCTGCATCTTCTTGAATAATGGTAGCAATTTTCTGATTAAATGCATATTTGATTTTGACTATTGTCTGATCTGTTGCCAGACTGTTACAGATTTCACATTTTCTGACCCTTAAGTCCCACAAATTTCTTCCAAATTCACACTTAATTGATTTTTGTTATTGTTGTCACATAATTAAGTTTAGTTTTGTTTATTCAAATCAATCGATTCCAAACTCACTGTGGTTTCTGGCAGGAAATTAGCTCAAAATTTTAGCGAGGAGAAACGGCGACCATGTGTGAGGTAAAGGAGTGGACAGGATTTATGAGAACAAGAAAACAGAAACATAATTTTTAAATCAGACATCTCGTCTTCAGAATCGTCTGAAGCCAAAACCGTTCTCAAATTGACTGATTTTACAGAAGCTCGTAGTTTTGTATGGAAAGCCATTTCATTCAAAATTAAATAAATAAATAAATTGCGTTATTTAAAAATGAATAATAAATACTCCATTAAATAAAATAAATAATAAATAAATGAAAAACGGGGTTAAAATATAAAAGCCCCTGAAACATGTAAAGTAGCTTTACAAAATAAAACGTCACAAAATGAAACTCCATTATTAAATAAATAAATCTTGAATTAAATAAAAATAAATCTTGAAATAAATAAAAAAAATTAATCTTAGGAAAAAATAATACCATTATCTATTTAAATGTTTTATTTCATGGGAACATTCATTTATTTATTGGAATATTTATGAATAATTTTTTAATAACACTATTTATTCATTTAATTTTGAATGAAGTGGCTCTCCGTGGATTTGGCCTCTTGCACTTCTTAATAAAGTTCAGACATTAAATGTGAAATGATGTCAACCAGACAGTAACTAGTTTTAACTTTCAGGGATGCAAGACTGTATGAAAGGAAAAAATTGCAACACAACCTCTGCATGTTCTTTTATCTATGGGGGGGAATAAAGAGTGCGCACACAGCCCAAACTAAAAATAAAAGCAGTTTTTAAATTGTACAATACCTGTCTGGAAAACAACCTCCTTGCCTCCAACGCCTGCAGCCTCCAGGTTAATAAAAGCACGCACCTGCTCAGCCCAAGGATGCTGAGTAATGAAACCATGACTCGCCTGAAATTACAAGAGAAAACACAACAAAGGAGAGAATTAAAAGAGAATCAGAGAATAAATAGTTTCACACCACGTGTCCGTTACTTTACCTGCAGGATATTTTCTTCAGCTCCATTGAAGAGGAAGATCACACCGTGGCGAAGAGGAGTGGACTGGTTGGCCAGAGAATGGAGGACTTCCAGCATCACTGCACAGCTCACCGCATCATCGCTGGCGCCTGAAACAAAGACACAAAAGCATGTGCGCCTGGAACTAAAACAATGTGCTTTAGGTGCGTTCACGCACGAGGCGACAGTCAGCCGCTTACAAAAAGTGGCATTAAAGACGATAAAGCTAATAACTCTAAAGTGAGACAGTGAGAGTGAGCTCAGAGGGAAAAGATGTTAAATACAAAAACAGCTCGGTTAAAATCTCAGCTCCCACTTCATGTGTGGAGGCGAGATCACAAAGCAGCACGTGACCACGCAAGATTAGCTCAACTAGTGGTAAGAAGCACAATTTAACGAGTAAACACAAATAAAGAAATCACTCAAGGTCAGAGACATCATGTGCTGTGACTTTGTGGAAGAAATGCATCCATAGAGTGGTGATGTAGCCCAGATTATCATTCCTGCTTCTATCTCTGCCACTTGTGCCAGAAATATATTACCGGTAATCCTCGCTCCAAAGAAGCTGCCAGAGTCAGTAAGTTGCCTCATCTACACACACATTACAGCTGCGTAGACTCAAATATGCTCAGACACAAGTAAAGCCTCTTTCATTCCCCCCCCCAACAATAAATATTTTGAATTCCAGAATATCAAAAGCCAGCGTGCATATTTTCCTGATCCACACCTCTTGGATCCATTTTCTTTTACCAGTGAAGTTGTGCAGGAATATCAACGAGTGTGTGTGTGTGTGTGTGTGTGTGTGTGTGTGTGTGTGTGTGTGTGTGTGTGTGTGTGTGTGTGTGTGATCTGAATAAATCATTGTCTCCTCAACAGGCTCAAGGGAGTGGCGTCAAACTGGACACTTCCTGTGTTGTTGCACCTCCGTTTCTCTTCCGCAGGCTTAAAAATGCAGAACAAAGTTTTCTAGACTTGGAAGCTTTAACTCACAATGACAGTTCTGTTCAAGCCTGAACCCACTGGAGTGTTTTAAACCATGTGCTGGTGAAGATTCTCAGTCATCCAGGACATGGTCAATTCAAAAACGTTCAAGCCAAAAACAACTGGACTTTATTTGTAACAGAAGACGTTTCGCTCCTCATCCGAGGAGCTTTCTCAGTTCAACGAGCAGAGCGTGTGGGATATTGAGATTGGGATTTTGAGAGGAGGGTGAAGGAAGCAATTTATGTAAAAAGAGAGAAACCATCTCTAAACAGAGGAGGTCTCAGATTTCAAAAACTTATAATGCAGCTTTAAGACTGATTCCCAGCCAGTTTCACACCTGTCAGATGGGAACAGAGCGGCCTCATCTGTGAATTAGATTAACAAAGACCTTCAGAAATCCCTACTGTTAAGGTGTAGGTGTGATTTGTCAGTCTACATATGTATGTTTATCATATCTCGGCTTTATAACCTGAATCCCACACGCTCTGCTCTTTGCATTGAGAAAGCTCCTCGGATGAGGAGAGGAACGTCTTCTGTTATAAAGTCCAGCTGTTTTTGGCTTGAACGTTTTTAAACTATGGTTTACAGAATCAAATGCAACCACGTGAGGTTTGTCTGACCTCTCAGACAACAGACAGAACTGATCTTTGAAGTTTTGGCGTGCGTCTTCAAACACACAAAATGCAATCAGAACCTGCCGTAAGACTGCTAAGGCGGGTTCGTTTACATTTGTGCAGAGGAATAAAAAATAAAGTTAAAAAAATAATAATAATAAATAAATAAATAAACCACAAATAATATAACAAGATATTCAAATCTGACTGAGTTGCAAGTAAAAACACTACAATGCTTACAGCCTTCTATAACATTTGCAATTTCTATAACCTTTTACTCTCAAATACTACCGTATTTTTCGGACTATAAAACGCACCAGATTATATGTCGCAATATCAATGAACAGGTCTGTTTTCATACTAAAGGTGCACCGGATTATAAGACGCATTAAGCGAAACAAGTTCATTTTGACAGATTTTTGAGCGCCGTGTACCTAGGCCTGTTACGATAACAAATTTTGCTGGGCGATAAATTGTCTCAGAAATTATTGCGATAAGCGATAACATTGTTTGAAATTTGACAATAATTAGTAATCACCGTCTAATTTAAAAAGAAATGTTAATTTCTTTTGCATGTAGTACCTTTTTGACCGCCGGATGGTAATATAAGACCATTTGAACCGAAGGATGGATAGTGAGGGAGCGAGCAGCGCGTCTCTAAGAAAAATGGGAGGGAAGACCCTTGACGTGACAGGGACAGTCTCTCGTTCCGGTTTTTAGGTTCTTAAAATGGCAGACACTTAGTGGTTTAAGCTCTTTAGCGTAGCAATTGTCACACAAAGCTTTTAATAAAAATAAAATAAGTAAACAAGTTCTCAGCTTCTTTTTGCAGAGAAAAACTTTTTACACGAAGGCACAGGTTTCAACCATGAATTTTGTAGCTTCGACAAGACGGAGGGTTTTTTTTCCCCCAATGTCGGCCTGTTAGCTTAGCTTGTAGCTTAGCTTCTTTTAACATTCCAAAAACGTGATTTTGGACGGTTAAAACAGTTTGTTTTGTTTTTTTTTAAAGATGGGGTCAGTGAAGAGCACCTGAGTTGAGCTTTATGTCATCCAGTGTCTTCAGTAGAAAGAGAGAAACACGAAGAAACGATAAAGCCGATAAATGAAAATGAGGTCGATAATTTTCACTTATCGTGCGATTAATTGATTTATCGTTTATTGCGACAGGCCTTCGAGTATCACATAAAATCGGTTCGAGGGAGGTCAGTATGCACAACCAGAATGAATACACAAGGCTCACCGGATTATAAGGATCACTGTCAATATTCAAGGATTTTACGTATGCCTTATAGTCCAAAAAAATACAGTCGTTGAAAAAAGTCCCACTATGGAAAAAAAAAACGTTTAAAATGTTTGCGGGGGATCTCGATTTCCTTGCATGCATCAAGTCTTGTTAGTTGGATTTTTAAACATGTTCAAATATATTTCTGCGACAATCTTTCCATGAAAATAATCAGACTTGGCTCAGGTGTCTCAAAATCTTCTCAAACCCTTCTCATTATAGTTTCTCTCAGTTTTAAAACATTAAAGCTGTACCGTATTTTTCAGACAATAAGGCACACTTAAAATCCTTGAATTTTCTCAAAAAAAAATCGACAGTGATCCTTATGTATTAATTCTGGTTGTGCTTATTGACCTCGAACCAATTTTATGTGGTACACGGCGCTCAAAAATCTGTCAAATTGAACTTTGCTTAAGGCAGCTTATAATCCAGTGCACCTTTTGTATAAAAACAGACCCGTTCATTGATATTGCGCCTTATAATCCAAAAAATACAGTACTTTAACCTTTGCAAAGGAGGTTTCCTCAGATAGAAAACATCTAAAGCTGCAGCTCTAAATGTCTACGTCTAAAACCACTAATTAATAATTATTTTAAAATAACCTATTCAAATCTGGCTATTCTTAGAATTCAGTGAGTCTGCAACTAAAAATCTGATTAGCAATGTTGCGTCACCACCCAGTCTAAAACAGTCACAGCCCACTGAGCTACTAGCTTAAGGTCATGCTTTCATCTTTGTCCACAGGTGATGGCATGTAAAGTCTGCTCTTAGTACAACTTGAGGATGTTTGGATACATTTAGTTAAATTCAGCCTGTGCTTTCATTTAACTGTTTTGTTTGTGTGACACTAACCCAACTAAAAGCAGTTTAAAAAGCCTACGAGTAACAAGACATGAGGTTTGTTTTTGCATAAATCTACATGCAAGATGTAGGTTGCAAACACTTGCAAAGAAAATAAAAGTCACTTAAGTGTTTTAAATCTCAGTTCAGAAGGTGGTTCATGAGACAAGCTAATGTTTTTGTACCTGGGCTGTTAGCCACAGTGTCAAAGTGGCAGTTGGCGAGCATGAGATGCTCACTGCCACCTTTGGGCTCCAGCTTGACAGCAACGTTGGTGACGTGGTCGTAGAAGCTCGTGAAACCACTGAGAAAGTCGATCGAGAAGGACCCGGTGGGTCGCTGCACGTCCACTGCGATCTGATGAGGACCAGCGGTGGTCTTCAGTCTGATCTTCTCTATCTGCTCCAACAGGTAGCCCACCGTCAGGACCTCGTTCTCCTCGCTGCCCACTGGCCGAGGGCCAACGCTGGTGATCTGCTCCAGGTGCCGCCTAGATTGAGAGGTGAGGAGAGATTGAAAGAGCAGCAAGAGAGCGCTGCGGTCCAGGTTCAAACACATTCCAGCACAAAGAAAATTATGCGTTTTACATAACCACATGCATGTGACTCTTGAGGCTTTTAAGGTTAAACTAGAGGAAAGGGTTTTCCTGGAAACAGTTCAGCTTGCTGATACTCTCAGAGAGTTTGTGACAAACACAACCTGATTAAAATCTTTGATTTTGTACCTTTTAACATTTAATCCAACCTCTGTCTGTATAAACATAGTTTCAGGCAAATAAAAATAATCCAGACTGTCCCTAAAGTGAGCCTTAACCATGTACTGGACAAAAGAAGGAAATTAAGCTCAAACGTCCGCATGGGCCAAGAAAATTGGATATCATCAACTTGTTTTTGTCGTCTTAAAATAAAAAGTCATGCCGCTTGTGTTTGCGCCTCCGTTAAACAAATGTGTTATCCAATACTGCACATTCCTAAATTACATCTGAAACAGCAAATAATAGCTGAAGTTTATAATTTAATCAAAAGGAAATGAACTTTCTAATAAGTGAAACTATATCCGCTGCTGTTTTCATCCATCAAAGTGTGTCAGTCGTCATTTGCTCCATTTGTCCCGTAGTCTTTAAGAGACGGACTTATGTTCATATCTGGACTCGCAGATTGTGAACAAAAAAGAGCGGAGAGCTTTAATCAGTTTGCATGCAGCATTTAGTTATGACTAAATGATGGCAAATCCTGCTGCCCAGCACTTTTTAAAAGCTCAACCCCAGGTCTGCTGACCTCGGACTCTGTGATATAATCCCCCCTTCCCTCCTCCTCACGGGAACTATAAACTGCACTGTGAAGCAACCTTCAGTCTAAAAACATTAAAGTTTCTTAGAACAAAGTTTTGGCTTTAATTTCCTAAAACTGACTTTTTTCTTAAAATTGGACTAAGAACATTTACATTTTCTTTTACAGCCTTTTGATGATTGTTGAGAAGTTTTTGCTTCCACCTTTTACTCTTTTTTTTTTTTTGACTATGTATATATAATTTATCTTGACTTCTTGATGTCCGTATGTTTATAGTTTTGTTTTTAATTAATTGTTATCATTTAGAAACCAGAAGTTTACATACACTATTTAAAAAGACACATAAGCATTTTTTCCCCACAGTCTGACGTGAAATCAGAATAAACTTTTCCCATTTTAGGTTCATTAGGATTAACAGTTTTTTTTCTATTTGCAAAATGCCAGAATAATGAGTGAGAATTTTTTAAAAAGGTAATTTTTATTGCTTTCTTCAAAGTCAAAAGTTTAAATACACTTCATTAGTATTTGGTACCACTGCCCTTAAACTCTATGACTTGGGTCAAACATTTTGCACATTCTTCCACGAGCGTCTCACAATGGTTGGCAGGAATTTGGGCCCATTCTTCCTGACAGAACTGGTGGAACTGAGCCATGTTTGTAGGCCGCCTTGCTCGCACGTGCCTTTTCAGCTTTGCCACTAAATTTTCTATAGGATTGAGATCAGGGCTTTGTAATGCCCACTCCAAAACAAGGACTTTATTATCCTTGAGCCATTTTGTAACCAGTTTGGCAGTATGCTTCAGGTCATTGTCCATTTGAAGGCCCATTTGTGCACAAGCTTTAACTTGACTTCTTGAGACGTTGCTTCAATATTCCACATAATGTTCTTTCCTCATGAAACCATGTATTTTGTGAAGTGCACCAGTCCCTCCTGCAGCGAAACAATCTCATAGCATAATACTGCCACCCCCGTGTTTCACAGTTAGGATGGTGTCAAGCTTCCCCCTTTTTCCTCCAAATGTAACGATGGTCATTATGGCCAACAGTTCAATTTTAGTTTTGTCAGACCACAGAACATGTCTCCAAAAACTAAGGTCTTTGTCCCTGTATGCATTTGCAAACTTTAATCTGGCTTTTTTTGTTTCCTTTGAAGGAATGGCTTACTCCTGTCAGAGTGGCCTTTCAGCCCATGTCGATACAGTTTCACTGCGATAATGACACACTCTTACAGCTTCAGCCAGCATCTTCACCATGTCTTTTGCTTTTGTTCTTGGGTTGATCTGCACATTTTGGACCAAAGCACGTTCATCTCTGGGACACAGAACCCGTCTCCTTCCTGAGCGGTATGATGGCTGGACATTCCCATCTTGTTTCTACTTGCGTAATTGTTTGCACAGATGAACGAGGCACCTTCAGGCATCTGGAAATTGCACCCAAGGATGAACCAGACTAGTGCAAGTCCACAGTTCTCTTCCTGATACGTTGGCTGATTTCTTTCGACTTTCCCATGATATTACACAAGGAAGCAGTGTGTTTCAGGTGTTCTTTAAATTACATTCACAGGTGTGTCTCGGATTAACTCAGATAGTATCAATAAACCTATCAGAAGCTTCAAAGACATGACGTCAATGTCCCAAATTGTTTAAAAGGCATAGTAATCTTAGTGTATTTAAACTTTTGACTTTTTTGAAGTAATAAAAATTGCCTTAAAAATTCTCACTTTCATTAATCTGGAATTTTGCAAATAGAAAAAATGTTGGCAATTCTAATTTATCTAAAATGGGAAAAGTTTATTTTGATTTCTAAATCAGAAAAATGTGGAAAAATGCATATGTGTCTTTTTAAATAGTGTATGTAAACTTCTGGTTTCAGCTCACATCTGGTTTTACTATTATTTAAAAAAAAAAGGTCTAATGTGCATCTAAATAAATCAATTAAACTTTTAAGAAACGCTTGAGTTTTCATTGGAGTTTCAATTATTGTGTGTCCAGTGCATGTTTTAACACACAAGTTTTACTTTTTATATGGGATGGTTTTTTATTTGGACAATAAAAACATTGAATCATGACAAATTTGAAGAGAAACTAAATGTGCATACTATTAGAAAAGGGTAAAAGTTTTTATAAAAACAGAGCTCACCTAGACATATTTAGTTGTTATAAAAAGGTAGTGAATGTTTTTTTCGACTAAAGTTGCTTTAATTGGATATTGGTAAAAAGTTGACTTTTTTTGACAGGTTTATATTTTGAGCTTTTTAAATAAATACGTTTTATGAATCTCTGGGTTAGTAGAGAATGAGAAGTGGAGAAAGGATCACTTTCAGATCTACTTATAAAGGTTTGTTACACCTCTGTTCTCCTATAAACACCTGTCCTCTCTGCAGGTGACTTTGGAGGAGCAGGTAACGGTGGGCCGGTGTCGTCCGGAAGTAAAACAACAGCCTTTTCTAAGTGGGTCTGTTTACTTCTCTGTCGCCTTCTGAGAGGACTTGATAAAACTCACCTGGCTCTTTCCGCGTTGAATTCCCCGCTCGGTGTTCCGATGACAAGCTGCTGCAGCGACAGATGAACCAGTCCCCACAGCAGCAGCAGAAACACGGACACCAGACAAGCCGTGAGCCCTTCCCGCGGTAAGAACAGCCTCACTTCGTGCTTCTTCTTCGGGTCTTCGTCGTAGCCATTATCGCCCCTCCGGTTCTGGGCTCCGTCGCTGTCCTGGGTCACATACCGAGGCGGCTCGGAGGGTTTTATTCTTCGGACAGCCGTGTCGCTTTCCATTTTTGAGCCTCCACTACATCAGTTAGAAAGAAAGCGCTCACTCTGTTTCGCTGCCTCAGGAAGACCGACGGGTCGCGGCGAGGGACAAACTTATTGTAGCGGCAAGGAGGGCGGAGTTTGGGGGGAAAAAAGGAAGGGGGGTAAATGAGAGGCACGAAAAAATAACAAAGGAAAGAAATGGAAAAAGGGGATAAAGAGACAAAGGAGAAGGGAATGGAAAGTGGGAAAAGAGGAAAAAGGTAAAAAAAAAAAAACAGAGGAAAGAAAAAAATCTGTAGGTCCTGTCTTTATTAGCAGGAAAAAAATATGGCCATAATGTTACACTCGAATAATGCATGTATTTTTATTTACTGCAGAAGCCCTTGATCATAAGTCTCTTTATCAGTTTAGGTAAATCCCCTGAGTGTATCTGTGTCACAGATAAAATGGCATCACAATAAACCATGTCTGACAAGACAGAGCACCAAAACATACCTAAAAGCTGTCTATACAGCTGTCTATGTAATGCATCTGATATCACCCCTGCAGTGAAGCATGGTGATGGCAGCATCATGCTGTGGGGCCTGGGGAAATGGTCAAAATTGAAGGAATAATAAATGTTGCTCAAAACAAATATTGAAAAAAGTCACATTTTACACATATACACAAATTAGGACTATAATACGATCAGGAAACTGGTGATAAGTCAAATAAATTCTGATAAGCTTTGCCTAGCTTTCACTAATGAAATGAAAAATCATAATTTGACATGTAATAATTTAAACCCCTCCCTGGGCCTTACCGTGGTGGAGGGTTTTGAGTGTCCCAATGATCCTAGGATCTATGCTGTTAGGGGCTTCATGACCCTAGTAAGGTCACCCAAGGCAGACAAGTCCTAGGTGAGGGACCAGACAAAGTGCAGCCCAAAGACCCCTTATGATGAGTAAAATAAATGGAAGGAATGTTCCCTCGCCCGGACGTGGGTCACCGGGGCCCCACTCTGGAGCCGGGCCTGGAAGTGGGGCATGCTGGCGAGCGCCTGGTGGCTGGGCTTTTACCCATGGAGCCCAGCTGGGCACAGCCCGAAGAGGAGACGTGGGTCCCCCCCATGGGCTCACCACATGTGTGCCAAAGGGGTCAGGTGCAATGTAGGATGGGTGGTGGCCGAGGGTGGGGACCTTGGCGGTCTGATCCTCGGCAACAGAAGCTGGCTCTTGGAACGTGGAATGTCACCTCACTGGTGGGGAAGGTGCCTGAGCTTGTGTGTGAGGTTGAGAGGTTCCGGTTAGAAATAGTCTGACTCACTTTGACGCACGGCTCTGGAACCAGTTTCCTTGAGAGGGGTTGGACACTCTTCCACTCTGGAGTTGCCCCTGGTGAGAGGTGCCGAGCAAGAGTGGGCATACTTGTTGCCCCCCATCTTGGTGCCTGTATGTTGGGGTTCACCCCAGTGAATGAGAGGGTGCCTCCCTCCACCTACATGTGGGGGGACAGTTTCTGACTGTTGTTTGTGCTTATGCACCAAACAGCAATTCAGATTATCTACCCTTTTTAGAGTCCTTGGAGGGGGTTCTGGAGACTACCCCTGTGAAAGTGAGACCTGGAGGGGTGTGGTTGGGAGGAATGCCCCCCCTGATCTGAACCTGAGTGGTGTTCTGTTATTGGACTTTTGTGTTCGTCATGAATTGTCCGTAATGAACACCATGTTCAAGCATAATAGTGTCCATATGTCCTGATGCATGCTCAATAATAGTGATACTATTAGTATACTATACTATACTATACTATACTATACTATACTATACACTAGTAGTAGTGTCCATATGTGCTATTGGAACCAGGAGACCCTAGGCCACAGTTCAATGATCGACTTTGTTGTCAATTCATCTAATCTGCGGCTGCATGTCTTGGACACTTGGGTGAAGAGAGGGGCAGAGCTGTCCACTGACCACTACCTGGTGATGAGTTGGCTCCGATAGTTGGGGAGGATGCTGGTCAGACCTGGTAGGCCCAAAAGTAATGTCTGCTGGGAACATCTGGCAGAGTCTCCCATGAGACAGAGCTTTAACTCTCACCTCCAGGAGAACTTCAAACACGTTTCGGGGGAGATGGGGGACATTGCGTCCGAGTGGGCCATGTTCTGCGCCTTCATTGTCGAGGCGGCTTATTAAAGCTGTGGCCGCAAGACTGTCAATGCCTGTCGCGGTAGCAGTCCTCAAACCCGGTGGTGGACACTGGCAGTGAGGGATGCTGTAAGGCTGAAGAAGGAGTCTTATTGGGCCTTTTTGGCATGTAGGACCTGGGAAGCAGCTGATGGGTACCAGCAGTCCAAGCGGCATGCGGCTCAGGTGGTTGCTGAGGCAAAAACTTGGGCGTGGGAGGAGTTCGGAGAGGCCATGGAGATTGACTTGGCTTTGTGGCGATTCTGGTCAACCATCTGGCATCTCAGGGAGGGGAAGCGGTACACCACCAACACTGTTTATAGTGGAGATTGTGTGCTGCTGACCTCAACTCAGGATATTCTGCATCATTGGGCAGAGTACTTCGAAGACCTCCTCAATCCTACCAGTACATCTTCCACTGAAGAAGCGGAGCCTGGGGATTTTGGGCCGGGCTCTACAATCTCTGGTGCTGAGATCACTGAGGTGGTTAAAAAGCTTTTTGGTGGCAGGGCCCTGGGGGTGGATGAGATTTGCCTGGAGTTCCTTAAGGCTCTGGATGTTGTGGGGTTGTGTTGGCTTACATGACTCTGCAATATTGCATGGACATCGGGGGCAGTTCCCCTGGATTGGCAGACTGGAGTGGTGATCCCCCTATTCAAAAAGGGGGACTGTAGAGTGTGTTCCAACTAAAGGGGGATCACGTTCTTAAGCCTCCCTGTTAAGGTCTATTCAGGAGTTCTGGAGAGGAGGGTCTGTCGGATAGTCGAATCTCAGATTCAGGAGGAGCAGTGCGGTTTTCGTCCTGGTCATGGAACACTGGCCCAGCTCTACACTCTCAGCAGGGTCCTGGATGGTGCCTGGGAGTTTGCCCAACCAGTCTACATGTGCTTTGTGGACTTGGAGAAGGCGTTCGACCATGTCCTTCAGTGAACCCTGTGGTGGGTACTCTGGGAGTATGGGGTACCAGGCCCTTTGATATGGGCTGTTAAGTCCCTATATGACCGGTGTCAAGAGCTTGGTTTGCATTGCTGGCAATAAGTCGGGTTCATTCCTGGTGAGAGTTGGACTCTGCTGAGGTTGCTCTTTTTCACCGATTCTGTTCATAACATTTATGGACAGAATTTCTAGGCGCAGCCAAGGTGTTGAGGAGATCCATTTTTGTGGCCTTAGGATCACATCTCTGCTTTTTGCAGATGATGTGGTCCTATTGGCTTCATGAGGTTGTGATCTACAGCTTTCGCTGGAGCAGTTCGCAGCCGAGTGTGACGCGGTTGGGATTAGGATCAGTTCCTCCAAATCCGAGGCCATGGTCTTGAGATGGAATAGAGTAGAGCGCCTTCTCCGGGTCAGGGAGGAGGTCCTGCCCCAAGTGCAGGAGTTTAAGTATCTCAAGGTCTTGTTCACAAATGAGGGAAAAATGGAGTGAGAGATCGATAGGCGGATAGGTGCGGTATCTGCAGTTAAGCAGGCACTGTACCGGTCTGGTGAAGAGAGAGATTTATTTGTCATTCACATGTCATGTGGTACATGTGGTGGAACGAGATTATGTACACAGGGTCCCAGTTACATCCAAGAATAAAATGTAAAAGAACAACAGTAATAAGACCTAAGATATGAACTAAGAAAAACTTCAACTAAATAATACACTAAGCGCTAGTAGCATAAAAGCATTATGTCGAACCGCAGCACAAACAAGAGTCTGTGTGAGCAGATGAGCACGCATGAACACATCAACATGAAGCAAGCAACATGATGTGATTTTTCACAGTAATTATCTAACAGCCTCAGGGTAGAAGCTGTTCCTCAGTCTAGTGGTTCTACACTTAATGCTCCTTAAGCTCCTTCCTGAGGGGAGCGGGGCAAAAAGTATGTGTCCTGGGTGAGTGGGGTCCTTCATGATGCAGGAGGCCCTCTTCCTGCATCTAGAGGTGTAAATGTCTGTGATGATTGGGAGGCTGACTCTGACAGACTTCTGTGCAGCCTTCGCCACTCTGCAAAGCTTTTCTTTCTGCAGCTGTGCAGCCTCCATGAGCTGAGTCAAAAGGTGAAGCTCTCAATTTACCGGTCGATCTACGTTCCTACCCTCATCTATGGTCATCAGCTTGACTGAAAGAACGAGATCACGGATACAAGCGGCCAAAATGAGTTTTCTCCACAGGGTGTCTGGGCTCTCCTTTAGAGATAGGGTGAGAAGCTTTGTCATCCGAGAGGGACTCAGAGTAGAGCCGCTGCTTCTCCACGTTGGAGAAGGCGTTCGACCGTATAAAACAAAACATACCAAAAAAAATAAAAAGGTTGAATGAAAATGCCTCGTGTTCGTATCCATCATGGCAGCACAACGGCTCAGTGGTTAGCACTGTTGCCTCACAGTAAGAAGGTCCTGGGTTCAATCCCTAGTTGGACCTGGGGTCTTTCTGTGTGGCGTTTGCATGTTCTTCTTGTGCTTGCGTGGGTTTTCTCTGGGTACTCCAGTTTCCTCCCCCAGACCAAAAACATGCATGTTAGGCTGCCTTCAGGTCCAGGCCTCCCTTGCCAAAGAGATATGTGATCTCAATGGGAGTTGTCTGGTTAAATAAAGGTTAATAAATAAATACTTCATCTTTAAGTTTGCCTACTTTATGTCAAATCAGGGGAAAACACTTCTGTATTTGTGTTTCAAAGAAATAGAATGTTCTCTCTTTAGATCTGAAAGATACTCCCCTTTTAATTATTTTAATAAAATGTCAAATTGTTTATGATAAAGTTTATAATAAAATCCGCATAGTAGACCATATTTGCTTTTATTTTGAAGTCTAAAGGATGTAGTATTACGTCAACTTTGGTCCCTTGACTATTTGTATCTTAAAGCAACCCTACTTGCTGTCCGATCATTGCCAAGCCTAGCGTCGCAGAGAGCAGTCAGCCAGTCGTGTCTCTATCCGAGGCCGGATGGTAAAATCCAACCTCCAGCGGATCCTAAACAGTCATTGCTTTGCTCGCGAGAAGGAAGGAAAACAGCAACCCTTTACTACCATGGCGGATTTAAGTAGTAGTGATATCTGTGACATGATTGGGAAGTAAGTAAACGACGAAAGGTAGCTCACGAAGCTACGTGCTAACTGCTGTGGGGGAGGGGTGGCTAAAATGGCATAGCTAGTCAGCACAAAATAGCGGAAATGACACCGAAATTACGTTTGGTTACATAAGAGATGTAAACTCGGTCTCATCTTTGGTTAAAGCATGGTTTTAAAACTAGTTTCAGGAATATAAATGTTAAATTTTGTGTCGATAGCTAGCACTTGTAGCCAACGATTACCGACGTCGAACTTGAGTTGCGTCACTGGCTGCGCTAGCGTGCAGTTATTGTCAACAATTATTTTGTAATGGTTAGTTGGCCACATTTTTTTTACGTTAATGACACTGTAGTCTTTTATACAAAGTTTAAGTTCTATTATGGCTCTCAAATAGTTGTAAACAGCGACGTCTCACGTATTTTCATCAGAATAACAAACGGTGGGAGCCGCACGCTGCTCAGGGCTAAAGAGGCTACACTAGGCCGCAAAGAAAAGTCTGCATAGGATAGAATCTTTCAGCCACTTTGAACCCCTTGTGTGATCAATTATTACACAACAGTCTTTACAGCAATAATGTCAGTTTACGGTAGGACGATAACTGCACGCCGTGATAAAGGTTACGTCATTCGTATGTCTTTGTATAGTGATTAAATTAAGGCCCTACCTTTTTTCTATAAAGTTAATTTAATTGGGATTAATACAAAGTGCATACACCAATAATTTATTGTGTGGGTAAGAGCTTAATGTTAGCCAGACACTCGTGTTTTTCATTCAACCTTTGTTTATACAGGTTAGGTTTATACAGGTATGTTGGTTTGATTCTCTTGTAGCTCTTTAAATGATTAATTTGTCATTTTTGTTTGCTTCAGCCTGTCCCTGCTCTGTAGTAGTACCCGTGGCCCGGGGCCTCTGTGGTGCTCCTGATGCCCCTCTCCCACCCCTGAAGATCCCAGGTGGGCGAGGGAATGGCACACGGGATCACGCTCCTTCAGTTCGGCAGCTCTACACAGTAAGTTTGGAAAAAGATGTTCTCAGCTGCACAATTTAAGGAACACAAACTGATGTTTCTGAATAAAGAATCTGTGCTCTTGATTACTTATACATGAAGTAAAAGCTGGTTTGCGGTAATTTCATTCTTGAGTCTGCTTTTTGTTTGTTTCAATCCTTGTTAAACCCTCAATAACAGATTAATCATTGTGGCTTTAAGTTTGTGACCTGCCGCTGTTTCTAAAATGTTTTTGTTTAATTCAGGACCGAAAGTTGACGGTAACAGAGGAGCCTGCTGGTAATGGACGTCCTAGGATGCTCCACTTCCAAAGTCGTCCCACAGTTGCAAAGACAATACAGTGGGACGCTGTCCTGAGCAGCAGCGCGCTCTATGTGGAGATACCTCGAGACCCTCTTCCTGAAGGCAGTAAGGAGAGGTGAGTCCACGTTGCAGAAAACTGATGGCGTCGGGATAAGCTATGTCAAGCCCTTGTTTTTTTATTATTTGCTCGTTTTCCATTTTCTGACCAGTTTCCTTTTTTGTTCCCTTCAGTTTTGCAGCTCTCCTGGAGTTTGCTGAAGAACATCTGAAAGTTGTTAGCGTGTTTGTCTGCTTTTACAAGAACAGAGATGATCGTGGTATGAGCCCACTTGTTTTTCTTTATTGTGTTGGTTTGAGGAAATTAATTATTTGATCACAGTATTCCTGCTTTTCCCCCCTCAGCTAAATTGGTGCGTACCTTCAGTTTCTTGGGTTTTGAGATTGTGAAACCAGGCCATGCCCTCGTCCCACCTCGACCTGATGTTTTCTTCATGGCCTACAACTTTGACAGGGACTCCTCGGATGATGAGTAGCCCTCCAGACTTCACCACCAGTTAATTTGTAGTTTTCTCCTCCCATCATGTTTTGTTTGCTTTAGTTTTATACAGCTCCAGCTTACCAACACAGCTACTGTCACATACAGTACACACGTGCTCACCTCCCCATGCTTTGTGTTCAAGGGAATAAAGCATCTCATTTGTAGCATTTATATTTGTGTGTTAAACTGTTTTCACAGATTTATTGGTGTCACATAAAATGGAGGGATTTTTATGTAGAAGTTATAAATAGTTGGGCTCTATTATACATGCATATTTTCCAGTAAAATCAGTTGTTTTCTTTCATGGCAGGTTTAAGGTGGGGGATTTTTTTATTTCTTGAATGTTCAAATAAAATGTCACCAGGTTTACACTCTGGTACAACCAGCTTTGGCTGAGCAGTAGTATTTAAATTTCAACATTTTATCTCTGGACTAAGTTACAAATTATAGGGACCAGTTTTTGTCATTACCCTAGCTTTAGTTCTGCTTCATGAGCAACCACTTAAATAGCTGGTGCTTTCTAGCTGCAAACTGTTTCTATTAGAAATGGGAGTGAAAAGCTGAATGCTAATGCATGTATTTGTAGATGGTTCCAAGGTTAAACATCTCAAGAGGGTAATGAAACTAAGAAAGGGAAGTGGAAAAATCCAAAGTGCATTTTTGCTTCTTTCTGCCATGTGTACCTGAAGATATTGTAGTTTTGAAGGTTGAAATAAAATCTGCGGTATTGTTGAATTTTCATTGGATTAGCATTCCTTTAAACCTTTAATTTCCATGATAGTACTGAATATGTTCACCTGTATAGTGGTACCTGTTGTGCTTCTGTGATAATAAAAAAGAAAAATAAATATTCTTGCGTTTTTTTATTATTGATCAATCCACTATAAAAGCTGGTGTTTTGTGTTGATGCCTCCAGGATAAGCTGTAACACTAGGGGGCGCTACAGGAGAACACTGCACAAAGTTGTTTTACAAGTTTACATTCACAAGTGAACTAAGGTAAAATGATGCTGTAAATGGTTAAAATTTAATGCAAAACCTTGAGCTGCGTGCTTTTTTTTCCAGCTGGCTGACAAAAAAAAACCCGACTTATGAAAAATCTTTACATAACAAGAGTTCAATAGCATTAAATAAATCAGTCATTTGCTTTTGTAAATTTTCAATAAAACACAGGAGAGTTTTTCTTGAATCCAAATATTTAATCGGTACATACCAAGTATTAGGACATGTATAAAATTTCTGATCACAATATGTAGCAATGAATTTTCTCAGACCGGCGTGTGCTGCAACTGTTTGAGGTCGGTAACGGAAACAAACAAACAAAAAAATAGTGATTAAAAAGAAACTAAAACGGCATTAACAAAAAAGTGTACGGACATAGATAATAGCATTCTAGGAAAACTAAACGTGCGTTCTCAAACTTTGTTTTTTGAAGAGAGTGCAATAAAAGTAAAAACACAGCACTAAAGCGAAGCGTCCACGAGACGTCTAAAAGTTGTTAGTACTGTAGGTTCATGGGGACGGGAGGGTCAAAGGTCACAGCAGAAAAAGAAAAAGAGCGGTTAGCTCATCAGGAGAAAAAAATAATCTCAACACGGAAATAATGCATATCACAGTTAGCTTAGTTTAAAGTCCATAGTAGCATTTGTACTTGCATGTTGACCAATAAAATAAAATAAAATCCTGAATGAACAGAAACAAGAACATCACCACTAAACAAGCAGCCTGCCGAGGAACGGAGAGGCGAGGGGGTTTAGGACGAACGGTTTTCATCTTTCACTTGCACGTCAACAGAAACGCAAAAAAACCCGAATGAAGTTTTTAAAACACAAACTAATTTTACCGCAACTTGGATACTTCCTGTGACCTCTGTCCACTTCGGAGCAGACGGCGCTGTCCAAAGGAAGTTTGGTTTGGTTCCTATCAGACCTGCCAACCCAGGACATTTTAAAGTACCATTATCAGCAGGCGCAAATCTGTTTGTCGTTCACAGTAGAAAACTAAAATTAATACAAAAAACCTCCTTCAGTTTCAAAAATATAGATTTTTGTGAGCTTAATCCAAGCTTCATTACATATTGGATGCTTCCTAAATCAGTGAAACGATGTAATTAAAAAAAAGGGCAATAATGGGAATTTAAAGGACCTTTTTTTAATATATGAGAAATTTCTGTAAGAAAAGGACCTGGTGGTGTAAAAATATTTTTACAGTCTCGAAAAGTTTTGAGTCATTCCTAAATGCTTTTAGTAGTTTATCGAGTCTATCAGAAAATTTAGATCGCAGGTATAGATAAATACAAAATAGTCTTTGTACCCAAAATAGGTAACTTTATGAAAGTCATAAAACGGTTCGGAGTTTGTTCAGGCCTGCTTATAGAAGTCAGTCTGTGAATTTTGTGTCTGTCTGCATCTGAGGAAAGTATACACCTAGTTTGTGTAAAAGTTTATTTAGGGTCATGAACATAGGAGATCTGATAATTTGTAATCTATTAATCTAAAATACAGACATGAAAAAGAACTTCCTTAGGCATGCATGCTCTAAATCCTTAGTTTATACAGAAGAGCTCTATTTTTAGTTGGAACAAAAGTGAATGACAACGCTTCTCTCAAACCTCAGTTTTATAAACCAGTTAAGAACAATAACTAATAATCAACCCAAAAATACTTATATTTTTTAATATTTATAGATTAATCACTTTAAAATAGCATTTTCCCCCTTTGCAGTGTACATTATTTATGACATTATTTTTTGAACTCGAGCAGAGTTAATGTTTGAATGAAGTCACGGACTCTGCTTTTTTTTTTTACCAGTTGTTATTTTCTAAATTACAGAAAGACTTGAAATATCATCAAAACTACATTGTTGAAAGTGTATTGCATTGTCTTTTAACATTAAGTCTATGTTGTGAACATTTATAGCTTCATGTTTTTACTCTAATGGGTTAATTAAATGAGATAACATACAGTATAATGTTCAAACAAACATTAAACTTTTCTTATTTTGTGCTTTCCTGCAGCCCTTTTTGCCCCTTTGGTCTGAAATATCAGCTTTTAGCTCCCATCTTTTTGAAATTACCACAAACAAAATGCTCAGTCAAGTTAAAAATGGTGATTTAAAAAAAAAAAAAAACACGTTTTATAAGGAATCAAACATAAAAACAAGAGAGAATGTACTGTCTATGGTCTTTGGGGGTAGACTTTGAGTTTAACATTTTTGCAGACTTTTTTTTTTTTTTTTTTTAACAAGCACAGCAAAGCTATAAAACACCAAAGGGTGAGAGAAGTCAAACAAAGGGTCAAATGTTTTTGTTAACAAAATAAATGCTCAAATTTGTAATTTTGTATTAAAAAGCTTTGTATTCCTTGAATGAATGCATATCGCCCTTCAATCATTTTGGTCAAAGATGTACACAATCTCATGTAATATGGCGAGATATCTCAGCGTATTTAGTTTTATGAATGACTCTCAGCTACTACCACATCAAATTTTAGCTCAGTATCTGCAAAACTGACTAAGTTACAGCCGTTTTTGTGTGGACTCTCAATTAGCTGGGGGTGGCCGTGCTGAACTGGATTGACTCCAGAAGTTAACGAGTTGTAGATGCATACCCAATGATTACGTTTTGAAAATTCATTAAAAGTCCATTCAGTGGTTCATGAAATATTTTGCTAACAGGCAGAATATCTGAACAGATAGATGAATATTTGTGGATGATAATATTAGCTAAGCATCCATGCAGAAAGTCCTGCTCGGCTGTGGTTGCTTGGTAACACCAGGGACAAATGCAGCCTGCCCTTTGAAACGTCTCTGAAAAGGCGTGCAGGCAGAACACCAGACACTTGAAGCGTTTTTATAATCCTGTCTGTGAATCTTCATTTAGTTTTCTAGTTGATGCAAGGAAAGAAAGCAGAACTTAATTGTCCACTTTTCAAGGAAAGCCTAGCAAAACTTTGATCCAGAACCTTTTGCAAAAAGAGTGGATTACTGAAACTTCCCCTCTGATCTTTTTCGTTTTGTGTTTTAAGTGCTTCATGGAACTCCACGTTAAATCCAAGGCTACTCTTCTCTGCCAGCACACAGAGCTGTCAGCTCAAGGCAAAACAAACTGCATCATTCCAAGAGACGGGAGCACCAAACACAATGCAGGCAAATGCTTCTAGCCTACATCAAAACCGCATGTCACTTCTTATCGTTTTGTTTTGTGATAAACTTCACCTTGCCAGAATTGATCAACTACACGAGCAGCCGCTTTCTTAGCACCATAAACAGTTGTCTGACAAGTGACTAAAACGCTCGAGTTATCGCTGTGTTTTGGGGTTAAAAACTGCATACATGGTACAGAAAATGCAAGCAGGTTGGCAGGTGTTTAAACGTTGAGCTCAAGGAGGGAACGACGTGCCGCGCGGGAATTAACGGTACCGGCGTCGCGATCGAAGGGAGAACTGAACCCGAGCAAGTGCTTAGAGACGGTTGGTGGGAATGTGAGTCGGAGCGCTTTTTGTGCGTTTGTTTTTGTGCCCACTTATCTGGCTGGAGTAAGGAGGTGAAGGAAAAAACGCCCTTGGTTGGAATTTCAGGCTGGTGGTGTGGATGGAGACGATCCAAGTTCTGGCAGATGAGGTCAGTCCCTACTGAGGTTTGTGTGTGATTGATTGTACACATTAATGGCTGTAGATGCGATTTACATTTGCCCGTGGATAAGTTACATTACGTGAGTGCAACGCATTTCAAAGTGGAGCTCTAAGGTCCTCGTCAGTATACGAGGGTGCACAGAATGGATGCTTAAGTGCGTACTTATCCTAGTTAAAAACGTATGTTCGACTTCATCGGCCCTTGTTGTAGCCGGGAAAGAACTGGTCGAGCAGAATCTGAAGCGTCTTGTTTTGGTTCATGCCATAGTCCTTGCCCAAGTCGTGACGGCAGGCGGGGCAGGTGTACACCTGTGCTCGGAACGACCGCTGGAGACAGGTCTATGGGTCAAAAAGAAGCCAGGATGATCATACGGCGATGGATGTTTGTTTAGGGGTTTACACATATACCGTCTACTAACATATACCTTGCAGACATTGTGCGAGCAGACGGTGGTGATGGGCTGAAAGACCAGCTCCTGGCAGCACACGCACATGAAGATCTGCTCCAGCTTTCGCAGGAAGTTCTTTTACAGAAACATAAAGGAAAGAAACAACAACAAACTGAAAAATATATTGCACTTGTACTAAAAACGGGACAACATCACACGTCTTCAGGTCTGTGTTGCTTCAGAGATTAAAGTCCAAAAGGAAAGAGGATATAGTTCTTTAAAACCTAAATTAGAGGCTGGTTGGTTGATAATTTAAGATTTTTGTCACTTTTTAAAGAATACCGTATTTTCCGCCGTACATGTCACTCTGCCCTATAAGTCGTATCAGTCCAAATATGTCTAATAAAGTGGAAAAATCCATAAATATGTCACATCTATTATGCGTCACCGTTGACAACCTGGAAATGTGGGCCGAACCCGGAAATGTGGGCCGGTGTTGTGCCAAAAATCGATTGGCTGCCAAATGGCGGCCGCTGGAGCGTGCACGGGAGGACTTTAACTATAATTTAACAAGATTAACACTTAAAAACAATTATGTTTGCTTGAAATCATAGTAAGGTGTGTCTCAGTCTAACTTTTCCTTAATAAATGCACTTGGACGGTCAAATCAGCTGCATTTCAAAAGCCGATACGCGGAAGTAGGAACGCGCAGAGGGATGAGATGCTGCGCATTGCTTAGAAATTTAACAAGGTAAGCACCTAAAACAATTATTATTTGCTCAACATTATAGTAAAGGTGTCTCAGTAGAACTTTTACTTAATAAATTCACTTTAATGGTCAAATTAGCTGCATTTCACTGGGATGGTGCAGCAAAATGAAGCAGATTTGACTGTTGCACACGGTAGCAGTCTACGGCAAGTCAATTGTGTCACTAATAGCCACTTTTACCTATTACATGATACAACGGCATGCCATACAGGTCAAATATCATCTACAGGCTGAAAATGGTAGTGTTCAATATTTTCAGTCAGAATGAATGAAATGGTCATATCTCAGCCAAAAATTGTTTATAAATATGGGGGAATAAAATCCATAAATACGTTGCTTCGGCATATAAGTCACAGGGCATGCAAATTATGCAAAAAAAACGTGACTTATAGGGTGAAAAATACGGTAATTGCAGTCTATGTCTATGCATGCTTGTTTAGTTTTTACACTCTGTGTTTCTTCCCTACTTACTATAAGCAAAGACAAATTTTTTTTTTTACTTACTTTCCGAAATATAGTATACCGTTACTTGTGTGTATTAAACTGTTATTTTTATGGGCCAAAAACTAACAAACAAACTGGCTTCATAAATTGGCTGCCCTTATTGTTTTAAAAGTCTGCATTGGTCAATGAAAATCCCTCATAGGTCAACCTCTAATCTAAATAATGAGATTTTTTTTCAGTCATCTTGGCTGGCGGATTAAGCATCTTATTTGTAAAAAGGTTGGGTGACAAAGAGGGAATGCATCTTTGTTTCAGGAATTATACCGGCCCCTCCTTAAGGTTCTCCTTGGCTTCTTCCCAGAGCTTCTTGTTGGCTGTGTCGTCTCCGATCAGCTGCTGCTGCTGCTCTGACAGCTGGAACGTCTCCTCCATCTTCACACGTTTAGATGGAGGCTCCGGTGCTGGTGATGGTTCTGGTAAAGACACGCAATAACATTTAAAAACGTAGACACTAATTTTAGAGAAGCAGAAAATAAACAACGGAAATCAATAGAAACGTGCTCAACAGCATTGACACAAAGATATGACTGAAAAAAAATTTTAATCACTGGAGATATTTTCATGTCGTTAAAGAGAAGTTCCTGTAATCCCACCTTTCTCACCTGCCCCTCTCCTTACAACCCCTTCTGACCTGCTTTGAGCATCAGCTGTAAATGCACCCACCAGTATCTTCAGTTGTCTTCTGCTCTCCATTACTCTGTGGTGCATCCTCCTGCATCTTAGTTTCTGGGGGCTCCTCCTCCTCCTCCTCCTCCTCATCTTTCTCTTCTTTTGCTTCGATCTTGTTTTTCCGTGGCCTCCCCCTCGCAGAGTAAAGCTTGCTGCGGCCACCCATACCAGGTCTAGCACAGGACTCCTTCTTAGTTTTGTTAGCCATGGCCGCCAAATAGCCTGGTGGGTACTGCAGAAAAAGACAGTGTGGTGAATTAATTATTAATGTTTTTTTTTTTTTGTTTGTTTTTTTACTTTTTCTGTTCAGCAATTCTGAAAACTGTAAATAAAAATGGACTAAAAGAAACACTTAAAGGTAAATAGTTTTATAACAGGATTTGATACAACATGATAAGCTGCAGTTTGTGCCACAGTTTTTCTAGTTTGTATTTGCTGCACATATTCCAGTGAGCCAAAACTTTATGACCAAGTAAGTACCGGTAAGTAAAATAAAGAATATAAAGTTTTAAGTCACATTAAAAAAAGGGGGAAATCTAATGGTGAGACAGTCAAGTCACAACATGATTTTTTTTTTTAGCTTCCTTAACAAGTGCTCTTTTACATGAGAGTTGTTGTTACCCTTTTAAATCAAATAATAATAATAAAAAATGTTTGAGTTAGAAAAAACGGTGTGAGAATGAGTGTCATCGTTATAAGTTTGGTAAAGTTCTTGTTAAATACAGGCATCCTAGCAGGTAGCAAAATTGCCAAAACTGATTAAAATCAGTTTAGAAATTTCATGTTTGGGTTTTCCTATTTTTTTATTTGTGTTTTGAAAAAGTAAATAATTTGGATGTTTAATAAGTTGCAAAACAGTAAAAAAAAAATATGTAAAAACTGTAATAAACGTATGGTCATTTTACTGTAAAAAAATTTTTTATTAAAAAAACAATAATATACACACACACACACACACAAATATATATATATATATATATATA